AGACTACCAATCCTCCATATAGTTGGCTCATCAGCAACAATCTGCACATTTATCTATGCATACTGCATTATGCGAAATGGAAATGTGGTGGACAAGTGCGAGCACTGCGCCATTCACGAGAATTTTTCTAGGATCATCATATACAAGCTGAGCTCACTTTTGTCACGCATCGAGAGCTTGCGCTGATAAACAAGCTCATGCAGATATACGTCCAATGTATACTGCTTGCTCCGCTGGTGGCTCGTCAGCAAGAGCATTTTTGCCAAGTAGAGGAAAGCTCTCTAAACTCTGGATGCCTGGTTAAAATTCGTCCGAGCTTGAAACGGCCTTGTTACTGCCACAACCATAGTGGATCATGAGTTAAAACTTACATCAATGCATGTTGCATTCCCAATCGTCTCGATGTGCCTACCTTAATTACACTTGGCTTGTGTACAAGAAAAGCTTTTTCAATTTTATTACGAAATATATGCCATTACCGCCATGTTACAACGTACGAAATAAAAGCCATTACCGTCATGTTACAACGTACGAAATAAATGCCATTACCGTCATGTTACAACGTACTAAAAAATGCCATTACCGCCATGTTACAACGTCGCGTGTGTGGAGAGTGATCATACCGATCTCAAAATAGATATCTGTGTTAATTGGTAAGGTGGTAAAGTTTTGAGCTCTTGGCTTTGTAATCAGTTTTTTTGCTGACAAGCAATTTATTGCAGGCTATCTATCATCAGTGAACTCAGCGATTAGCCTTGCACTTGGATATCAATTTGCTGTAATTATGCAGCAAAATGTCAAGCAGCATGTCATTGCCCATATGCACTTTGGACCATCGTTTTCAGAAGTTATGGGTAAGATATATGTAGCAGGTCTGAAGGCAGCGTATACGCGACATCGGCAGCGGTTTCGCGAAAATGGAATTGAAGAGGCTTGTATGATGTAATAGACGTATCATTGAATGTGACTGACTGCAATTGCCAATTTTCGGGATTGCTGAATTTCACGAGGGCCATCTATGTTCTCATGATCTTTGTAGCCGAGTGATACCATGGTCGGTCAGTGACCATTTAATCAGCATTGGTAGGTGGTACAGCCAGCACAGATGCATGTTGAGTACGTGCAAGTTAACATTCACATGAGATAAAATGATTGCAGAAGAATATTATAATGCTCCAAAACATCGTAAGCATGTGCTGCTTGACCATGTCTTGGCAGTACCAGAAGCCTGTATTCGCAAATATATAAAAGATCAGACTCGTGGTCGACCAACGGGGTCAACACAGTTACTTTTATCACAGTTCGAGTATGTTAACGCCACGTTGAAGCAATGTCGGAAATGCCAGCAGACGGATCATAATGCCCGAACCTATCGTCTTCAGGCACAAGAAGCAGCTACTACAACAACAAAGCACCACCACCACCAGCAATTACTACCAGCAGCAGCAACAGTAGATTAAGAAGCACCAGATTGTACGGTTGTAAAGATTCAAAAAAATAATATGTTCTACATAGCAGTGTGATCAACTTGCTCATGACGACAATACGCGGCTGTCTACCGTCCCATTAGCTGTGACAATAATTTGTTTGGATTGCCAGCAACACTACACCTTACACCCGATAGTATTGAGACAGAGGAGTTGAGCTGCGTTGCTGCTACAACTCCGCCTTCTTCTTTTATGCTTGGCCAAGCATCCTGAATATAGCTCATAAAACAAAAAAAACTTAATTATCAATGTTCCTTTCAGAAAATTATCTACATCAAAACTCCAAACCTGCGCTGGGTCGCCCGTCTACTGCATTGTGATAAACACGCGCGCAACCAATCCAGACAGGTTTCAGGACCAACATGATGAGCGCCAACTAGTCCATGTGGCCCTGTTTAAACTTAAGCATAACCAGTACACATTGTTAGTGGATTCTCGTCAATTTTTCTGTCGTAGCAATAATCTACAATTTTATACATGAGACTTACCTGCAAATTTCGATCTTTGGTATACACGGGGATCCCCGCGGATACCAGCTGTGTAGCGAAGCTACAAAGCTTCTTTGGTCAGAGGAAGTCATAGTGCTCAAAGAGCGTATCATTTCGAAAGAACTAGACTCTATGAGTCAATAAGCGTAAAGCTTAAGGCCCCTGTTCCAGGGGACCGAACGATATATTGAATCTACATCACTTAGTGCTCAAGATAGGTACATCAGGGAGGTGCTGATAGCTCTTAACAATCAACGATCAGAGATGGATCGTAAGACATGTGTCTTCGACAAGATCAAAAGGGGAACTGAACTGTATTTAGGTTTGACAATTAAGAATAGGGCTCTATAGCTGGACCACGTTCTTTTAATAAACGGACCACACACCCCAGATATGACCAATCAGACGAAACGGACACGTATTCAACACCGGAAACATTTTGACTACACTGCCACTAGAATGGAACTACAAAGGAGGAAGCAACCTGATTCATTCCTGCAATACAACCAAGTACCTTGGAACACCACGCGTCAATCCCGTTGGCACCACCAGCTGCACAGTATTTCAAATCGCTAGACCCAGCAATGGAGCTTATTAAGTCTCATGCGGAATTAGAAGGCATGCTGTCAGGAAAGGGCGAGTCCGAAGTGTTGGAAATAATAAATGTGGTTTTGTCAAGCTAGTAGCTGTCTTTTATGTTAACGGGGGGGGGTGCATAATGGCAAGGACAATCGGTTGCGCAATACAATCACCTATAGAATTGGCCGTCCTTTCTAAGCGACTCTTCTGCGAAATGATGTGGTCAGTGAAGCTTTTACTTTGGTTGTTGGCCTTCCCAACCACAACCATGAACCGGCTAAAGACGTGGCTGCGTGCCTAAGTGCACGGGAAACCAATCATGATCAAGTTCAAATGGTGGAACAGCTATGCAATCTGGCGTACAACCAGAAGAAACACTCAATATGTTACGGGAAAGCCAACCTGAGTGCAACACACTACTTCGAGACATTTACAACATGAAGGCAAAGGCCAAGAATGCGTTCATAGCTGAGCGGACCCCTCTCGAAGCATTGTCGGACGTGCTCAATGAAAAGCATGTAACGCACAAAATCCAAAGAAGCACTGCAGACAAACTCACGCATCTGTTCATTGTGCCAAATTCTGTAGTAAGATTGCCGATGATCACTATGCAAATGACATCCTGCTACTATATTCCACATTCAAAACTAACAAATTCCTCTTGCCCTTACTTCGTTGAATGGGAGTCATTGCTACAAAAATTAATTCTCCTTGGCGTACTGTTTCATGGTGGGGGCGACAGATGCTTATCATCAATGGACCATGGCGGAACTGAATGATGTTAAATAGTCTTTGAAAAGATCAAATGAACTGGTAATAGTCATTGATTGTAAGTTTGCCCTAATGAACGTCATTTGGGAGATTTTACCCTAGCATACAATCTGCTTTGCATATTCACAAAAACGTGCTTGCAAATCTCAGAAAGCACTTTGCAACAGCAGAGGTGTGGGACGACTTCTTCAGCAAATGGTATTAGCTCTGCAGTATGGCATCGCAAGACGGGTTCAATGACCAAGGGCAACAGATGGAGGAAAGGTATCCCGCAGCAGCCACTTCCTTTTTTGAGGTAACCTGGTTGGCGCACCAGGAGAAGTTCATAAAGGCGTGGATCCAGCACATTCTGCATTACAACCATACTGAGACTTCACGCGTAGAAGGTGGTCACGCGACACAGAAGGGCTAAACACCATTATCCACCGTTGATCTTGCGACTGTCTACGAGAAACTATCATTGAACCATAATCAACAGAAGTTGCGGATTAGTCAGACAACGACATTTAAAAGTCTTGCATTTCGCAGAAACGTCAGTCCCAGTTCTGGGCCAATTTGGTTAAGAAATTTTCGTTTGCGGCCCTCAAAGAAGTTCTTGACCAGTATCATCTTTTTCTTCAGCTTCCCGACACCGGCGCTCCGCCTTGCTTGCAGACGTATTGAGCTGCGATGGGCACACCCTGTTGTCATGCGCTTAAGTGCATGCTATTGTAAAGAGAGAAGCTTTAACTATTTGAATTTCGCGTGCATTGGTGGCTTCAGCAACCACGTACTGAAACAATGGATGCCTCGCAGCCGGAAGAGTCGCTGACTAGCGTTATGGAACGCATTGAAGAGGAGCACAAAAACCTCGCGCCTCACCAGAAGGCTCTTTTTTTGCCGAACACATTGTGATATGGTTGAATCAGAGCAGTCAGGGTTGGTGGCTGATCCTGATAATCTAATGGCGCGGCCGTCTTCAAGGTAGTACCAACCGCGAGTCAAATCCCTTACAAAGAGATCCCTCTGCATTGAGTGTGTGGAATGAGTTAAAGTGCAGACCAATTATGGCAGGCGGAAGCATACCTGTGGGGAGTGCCATGAAGAAGGGCACAACATCTGTTACGGGGCACCATGAAGCTTGTACTGATGACAGTACAAGCTACTTATCCTGATGACAGAATAAGGCGGTGCCGCGTAACCTCACGTACACTGGTATGTGCAGAGGAAGACGGTAAGGAGAAGCGAGTACTTAGTTAAAGTAAAAAGTAGAACTGTATTTATAATAGTTAATGTCTGTCAATAAACCACTGTTTATCCTCATCTAACTATGTATAAATACAAATGTGTATACCAACTATCTGCTCACTACTCATTGCGTGCGTCTGTCGTGGCGCGTGTTCGTTGGTTGATATAATGGCCTATGTCAACCAATTAGGAACTACTCGTAAGTGCTGCAGAATGTTGTCCTTATGACAATATTCTGAGAATATAACTCATATAGTTATATTCTATTAACCATTTCTTATAAATTGTTATATAACGGTTCACCCCGTTACATCACCCCCCTTAATTATCAGTCACGCTAGTGACTGATTGACTAAATGGATACTCGTCCCAAATCATTTGGGACAGGGTTTGGACTTGTTGGTCCGAGTCCACATTCCAACAGTTTCATCGCATGGTTAACAAGTCCATGCGGTGCGAGAACAAGGCCGCCGAGAGCGCGTCTGCACGTCTCTGTGCGGATGCCGAAGCAGAAACCACAGCAACTGATGTGTCATCGGTTGCTGAAGCGTCTCATCCTGTATCACCTGGTGATGCAGGCGCTCGTCATGAAAACACTTATGTCTTCACAGAGTATGAGCTCGGTGTCTCATACTCTCCTGATACGGAAGAGGATTCTGTATCGAAGGCGGTTGAAACCAAGACGCCTGCCAAGCGTGGCATGGATGATGCTATGCGTCGTAGTATCTTTGGTTCATCTGAGAATCAGATGAACCATCGCCAAAGCGAAGGCGCTCGAGGTCGCGAGACTCGGGCGCTAACAGTGATGTTGGTTCTCCTATTGACACCACTTCACAGCGAGGTGCCAGTACTTCTGTCGGCACGTCGCAGGAAGAGCGGGACCACAATGTGTTGCGTCTCGCTCCTTAAAAGAAGGCGCGGATGCCTCCTAAATCCGTCATGGATCACTTGTCGGCGACGACGAGTGATCGTTATCGAACACGGTTGCTCGATTCGTCAAGGATCCATCACCTTGACCCCAGCGCGAAAAACTATCGCGCTGAGAATGAATTCTTCATCGATGCTTTCTTCAAACATCGATGGTACAGTGGGAATCACAAACGTGATGGTCCCTGACTGCTTCAAGCGTGGAACGCTTACATCCATAACCTTGAGGATGTAGGTCGTGACGTTGAACGACAAACTTATCAAAGCTCGTGATAAGTTTGAGAAGAGAACCCCGACAGGTGCACGCTATAAGCTGCATCGTCTGTCTAAGGAGGGTGGGTTACCCTGTCTCTCCTGGGGAGACCCGTCCCCATGTTGTGTAAACAACTCTGCGCGCCCACCTAAGTAGGCCTAACTCCTTACTAGCCCGTGGTGGCGCGTACGTATCTCAACTGAGATGTCCTAAGGTATTGACAACCTGAAATCCCTTTACGACCGTGCCGGGAAGACTTTTTTCGGTGGTCCTTCTGCGGCACAGAATGTGACGCGTCGTACTGCTCGACCAGACCCAGTACGTCAATCATCAGTTGGGAGCGGGGCTCCCAAGTATCCCAGGACGGGGGATAACCGCGCCACCGGACGAGTTAGCTCGTCCGACGTCCGTTCACATCGCGGTGGTTCAAGAGCCGCTCAATCATATAGCGCTGACCACCGCGAGAGCACTCCAAAGGAGGTGGAGGAGGAAGGAAGGCGCTCTCCAAGCTATCGTGGGAGAGCGTGTGTCTTCGAGAGCTTCTTCGATCGCGTAACTCTTGCGTTACGCGAAGACTTCGAGCATGGGCGGGACAGGCGGCTTCAACTGGCGGAAACTGTCTTGAAGCATCGAGATGAGTATGCTTTTGCTCAGCTTGAGAACGAGAGAGCTTTGACATCTCTGCGTAACGAGCTAAGGGTAGCTCGTGTGGATATTGACCGGTCTCGGGCTGAGATAGCTTCTCTTCAGACCCTTGTTGATATCCACCATCGGGAGCACAAGGCTCTCTGTGAGATGCTTGAGCGCAAGGGCGTTCTTCATCGGAAGAAACAGCGTACTGATGGTACGTATTAAGCCGACCAACGTAAAACGTGGGATGCGTTCGCATCTTACGTGGCAGTTCGATCGTGTATGCATTTCCTAGGAGATGCAATACATGAAATGGACCGATGTACTTGGGTAGTAATTTACTACTACCCAAGTTTGTCACTACGTGCTTTGGTAGATTAACCGGAGACAGTAGGACTAAGTCACCTTTATTAAATAAAAGAGTGTTTGCCTTTCCATTCTTGTCTGCGTTTTTCTTTTGATTATCCACCACTTCGGCGATGGAGTCTTGCACGAAACTGACTACCGTTTTACGAGCCAGTATGAACTCATCTGCTGACTCGTTAGCTTCAGTGCGCTGTGAGTGCACTGTAGCGACATCAATCTTTTCTTCAGTGAGGGCTTCCTCGCTCTCACTGGCATCATCTTCTTCGATCTCGATGTTGTCGATATTGGCATCAAACGCAATGACCTCATCGTCAGAGCGTAATGAGCGTGAACCAAATCGTTTTTTGCTTGTGCGAGTCTCTCCCCCCTTAAACCGGAGTTACACTCGCGTAAGGTAGGTACACGCGTACGGCGCAAGCCATTCACGTAAAACGGTGTATGTGTCGTGGACGCATGCACCGAGTTGTTAATGGCAAACTCTACCATTGGCAAGAACTCACTCCAACTCTTAAAAGAGTGTACTTATCCTCGAAGTATCTCTTTGAGGACACGATTGGCTCGTTCCGCCTGACCATATGACTCTGGATGATCAGATGTCGACATCTTCAAGCGGATTCCGAGTGATTTGAACACGGAGCGCCAGAAATCAGCAGTGAAGCGTGGATATCTGTCTGATACGAGTTCACGGGGCAACCCATGAAGTCGGAAGATGGTGTCGATAAAGACACAAGCACAGCCACTTGCTGTGATTGACTCTGGTACAGCCACAAGGTGCACCGTTTTGCTGAATCTGTCAACAAAATACAAGAATACCCGTATTCTTGCGTGCGTCTTTGGGTAACCCGAAGACGAAATCCATTGAGATGGATTCCCAGCACTTAGCCGGAACCGGTAGAGGCTGTAAAGGTGCACACAGTGAAGGACTTGACTTCACTCGTTGACAGAATTCGCATGCGCGAACATACTTTCGCACAAACTAATACTGGCGGGGACAGTAAAAGTCTCGACTCACCGTGAGACATATTTTCTCCCGGCCACGATGTCCTCCTATAGGAGCATCGTGATACTCGAACATGATCCGCAAACGCAGATCAGTATCATCTGGGATGACAACACGTGGTGTTTCACCAGTAACGGCTGTATAATACAGTAAACCGTTGCGAGTAGTGTATCGATCTGCATCAGATCGATACGCAGACGATAATCGTTTCAACGATTCTCGGGATGGTTGTGAGAGATGTGTCAACAACTTCACAATCTCACCATCTTGGGCATACGCCCGCCTCGCATCATCATGTAACGTTGAAGATGGTTTTGAGGACGTCACAACCGCAACAGTGGCTGTCCCACAGTTGGGTGTCCCGACTGATTCAAAGTCGGGCCGACGTGAGAGTGCATCAGCGACGACATTAAGTCGTCCTGGTTTGTACTCAACCGTAAAGTTGTATTCTGTAAAGAATGACAACCACCGCGCGATTCGTTGTGAAAGGTGCGGGCTGTTTACTGCCGTGCGTAATGACGCATGGTCTGTGTAAACAATGAAGGGTCTAACTCCTAATAGATAGACTTTGAACTTCGCGAGTGCATACTTCATGGCAAGGAGTTCCTTGTCATGCACTGGATAGTTCAGCTCAGCTGGTTGCAGCTGACGCGACTGATAGCAGACGACGCGTTCAACGCCTTCAAGATCGTACTGCATTAATGCACAGCCGATTGCAAAATCGCTGGCATCACAGACCACATGAAATGGCCTGTCCTGATTGGCAATTTCAAGGACTGGGGATTGTATCAAGCTCTGCTTGATACCATCAAAGGAGCGCTGACATTCAGCGTTCCATAACCACCTCTCGTTCTTTTCAACAAACGAGAGAGGTGTACAGTCATCTCGGCGTAATTGCGTGAATACTTGTGCCAATACGCCGCTAGCCCAAGGAATTTTCGAAGACCTTTGACATCAACTGGCACATGCCGGTCGGTGATCGCCTTGATCTTTTCGGGATTAGTACGTACACCGTTCTTACCAACGATGCACCCAAGAAGTGGTATTTCGCTTGCTGCAAATATACACTTCTTGAGATTTGCATACAATTGATGCTTTCTCATGATTGTAAGAACCTGTCGGACGTGGTATCTGTGAACCTCAACGTCCAACTGTCCATCCATAGCCCAACTATGGATGAATACGTCATCTAAATAACTTGGTGCGAAGTATTTTTCTGGTCTCAACAGATGTGATACACATCTGTTGAACGTGGCAGGGGCATTACGAAGCACTTGTGGCGTTACTAGCCATTCCCAGAGCATGCCGCTAGGCGTGCTCACTGCTTTTTAGGGTATGTCCTGTTCTCGCATAAGAATTTGATAGAAGCCATCCATCAAATTCATGAACGAAAAGATAGTACTCTTTGACACACCATCAATGATTACGTCCTTCCTTGTTATCGGCGTCTGAGCCAGTACCGTTGCAGCATTCAACTTGGTGAATGCATGCACAATCCACCACCCTCCTGTTGCTTTTCGCACACAGAAGGTCGGAGAGCCATGTGGAGAAGTTGATTCCCTCACATGGCCTGCAGCTAAACGATCGGCAAAGAACTTGTCGATCGCAAGTACTTGTTCACGAGGCAGTGGCCACTGCTTCATGACACAGTACCTCGAGCCTGGTTTAAGCTCGACCTCGTGTCGAGTACCTTTATCCTTCGGTAACTCGCACGAAACAGTTTCAGGGAATACATCCTTAATTCAACCAAATCCTCATAGAGAGGATTTGTCTTGAGCGATTCTCGCGATTGGGAGTCATATCGCTCAACTCGTGTCTTTTCATCGAGGACACTCTCGTCCATCGATGAACTACTGAGAACTCTCTCGTTCTCAGTAAACATTGTTGCTGACCTTATGTCGGCTACACACTCGTCGTCAGCGACGAGTATGCAGATCTGCTTGACTTTGCCACTACGCAGATCATGCAAAAACCTTTTATATTCGAGCGTTGGCAACTGAGTGATCTCCGAAGTTAACTTCGGAGGCGCAATCAGATCAAGTGTATAAGCGCCTACACTTGATCCGTTATTGGCTATGACATTCAATGTCTCTGTCATTTCCTGGGGACTTATTCCCTCAGGCTTCGAAGGACTTATTCCTTCGGCTTCCCGGGGACTTATTCCCGCGGGTTTCGGGGAACTTATTTCCGCCGTATTTGTAATCTTGGGACTTATTCCCTTTACTTCCTCTAGCTGTGGTTGCGCAACCACAGCGAGATCCTCTACGAAAGACTCTCCAGTCGATCTAGGATTATCGTTTCGCTTAACCTGAGTGATCGATTGTTTCTCTTCTAGATGTTTCCCGCTAGGGATACATCTTTGTCCCAGTCCACCCGACTTATTCGAGTGGTGGACCTTCGGCGCAGCCTGTGTTTCCTCACAGCCGCCGGAACTTTGCTCCGAAGTGTAACCGTTTGGTACACTAAGGTTTTGTGCAATCGTACTAACGACCGTACCACAAGTGAGGCCATCGCACTCACTCGTAGTACATCCACACGCTTGTGGACGCTCCAAAACGTTCATCAGATGGCCATCTGATGAACAAGCGGCAGGCGTCGTTACTGTTCGATGCTGCCAGTTTACCCGTGGCTCGTACCTTCCGAGCCACGGTATTCCAAGGATGACATCAAATTTGTCATCCAAATCCAAGACGATAAAGTCATCGTCTTATTGGGTATTTTCTAGCGTATAGTGGATCTTCAATATACGCTTCATGACGATTATCGGATGCGCCTTTCGCAAGACGTACCGTCATCCTCGTAGGAGGTGTTTCACATCCAATAAGCTTAAAGTGACCATCTTCTAGCGATTGGCGTTGCACAAAACTGTTGGACGCCCCACAATCGACTAGAGCTCGAAGGGACAACTTATTTGTCACTTCGAGTTTCAAGGTAATGAGTGAGATCTCATTACCTCGAGCAGCAACGCACAATGATTGTGTATTGGGGGCAACCTTCGTCAAGAGGCCTGCAAATTCGCTTGACGTTGCTGGACCGGTAGGGTGCTCTGCACCTACTGATCCTGTCCGTTTTTTGACGGTCCATCCCGTTGTTACGTCTTTGCACCAACAGCGGACCCGCGTCCCTGCCCCTTTCTCATGGGTGGACGGTCATTACGCCCAGTGTTGCAATACACTGGACGAGGAGCACTACACTCGTAAGCGTATAGTGTCCTGTCTTTTGACATATGTTGCATTTCTGCAACTTCTTGTAGTCTGTAGAGCGAGCTTTCTCGCTCTCTACATAACAGAGTTTCATCGGCTCTAGACCTTCGCTGTCATATCGTCTCGGTTGACGATATGAAGTCGAGTTGGCGCGAGCCTGTCTCAGACTGAAGTCTTCCTGGTCCGCAGTGGAAATGGCTTGTTCTAGTGAATCCAGTTCAAGTTGGAACAGGTGAGTCTTGACGGGACCGTCCGCAAGACCCTGCATGAACACCGAAACCAACGTGTGTTCATCAACCGGGTTGGAGCTTATACAACTCGTGAGATGTCGTATATGTTGTGCATAAGCGTGCACATCACGCTTACCTTGTTTGAGCTTCAAGAGTTCAGTTCGAGCTCTGAACTCAGCTCTAGGCGATTCAAACGTTTGTCTGAGCCGCGACTTGAAGACTTCTAACGACCCAAACGCATATGGGTCGTGCAACTTGAGCCCCAAAGCACAAGTCTTGGCACTTCCTGCCAGATTTGATTGGGCGAACGCAACTTGCATTTCCCCGTCGTCGATGCGACGCGCCCTTATGGCGTCGTCTAATTCGACAAACCATCTCAAGAGGGAGTCCTCTTCGACTCCCCATACTTAGAGATGTCAATCTTGAAGGTCTCGGGTCGACGCGAGTGCATCGACCCACCAGCAGCAGCCTGCTGCTGTCTCAACAGTTCAAACCGTTGAGCACCCTGTTCTCTCAACAACTCTGCTTGTTGAGAACCTTGTTGGTGAAGCAAGGCTACTTTCTCTCATTCAGCGTCAAGTTTATTTCGAATGAACTTGGCGATAGTAGCATGTTGGGCATCTCTATTGAGAGCCTCTAGCATGACGCTAGCAGCATGGATGCCCATGGTTGAACCCATCCGATCAACCGCATCCCATTCTGCTCACCACTTATTGCGTGCGTCTGTCGTGGCGCGTGTTCGTTGGTTGATATAATGGCCTATGTCAACCAATTAGGAACTACTCGTAAGTGCTGCAGAATGTTGTCCTTATGACAATTTTCTGAGAATATAACTCATATGGTTATATTCTATTAACCATTTCTTATAAAGTGTTGTGTAACGGTTCACCCCGTTACAGTCCAGCTATTCCCCCTGAAAACACCTTAATCCTAGTATCACCTATTAGGCACTCATGTCATATTTTTAATTTCCTTAAGATCTTACCAATCTTGAGGCTGACACCCTTCAGTCCCTATAAACCGATAAGATATTCTATATCTCTTTCAGTGGATACCATCTGGTGTGTCTAAGACACAGGGCACTGAGTATCCAACGATGTGTGACCCCTTTACAAACAAACATTGGCGCTCTTCCGCGATTGTGAGCATACACGCTGCCAAAGCAGACAATGCCACACACAATCAAATACATTAGTCACCGGTTTTAGACTAGTTTAACGTCCAAAGCATTGATAAGACGACAACAGCTCAAAAAATATGCTGATCGACTAAATTGCAAGAAGTGCAATAGTTTCTTTGTGACGTATAAATGTTGGGATCACAATGGAGTGTTTCAATTATATATATTGACCAATTCGATTTCGAAACATTCGGGACTGAGGGGCAATTCGAGAGAGAGGAACAGAACGTCTATAAATAAACATTAAGTTGTGCAAGACGTCTGGAATGTCCTAAGCCAGGTGAGCAACGCCGGTGTCAATCTTACCGGTAATTTTACGTGTCTCACCGCTGTGCTCGATGCTCTCGAGGGTGATATGATCAACATTTCATGCATTGCATGAGAATGGTGCCGTTCACCCGTGTAGATAATTGTCGACGCTCTCGTGTCGCCAGTGCTTGTAATTGGCTAAACCCGTGTCTTTGAAACTCTTGTACACATCCCGCCAGCGTTACGCTCTTACCTTTATGAACCACTCGATTGCGCTGAACCCATAAGGTTGTAATGCATACCGAACAAGTAAGGGGCAATTAGCAAGAAGGTGATGGCTAAATAGCGGTTCCTTAAAAGAAAGGGTCGTGAATCTGACTAAAAAAGGAGTGAACCCAACAGCTCCCTTTTTTCGACCTTAGAAATACAATGATGTTCATTCTTTCCCACACTTGTTCGATCATTTTAAACTCTATTCCTATTGAAATTATGGCCTCCTACGCTTACATTTACCGCCCTCTATCGTTGCTTCAGTCGTTTATCAGCGGATAAAATAGAGGCGAGCTGACTATGGGCGTCCACAATCCACCGTGCACATTTGAGATATCATGACATCCGTCCTCTGGATCAGTTCAAGAAATACGCCGACCACTCGCTTATACTACTCGAAAAGTATTCGAGTGTTTAAGACTCCACCACTTCGGGTACTGCTCATTTATTCCTTGCAACTTGTCTGCTCTCTATTACTAGTATCTATCATTTGTATACACTGACACTTCAATCAGCGAGGGGTGCCGATTGCTAGTCATGGACCAGTTCCATTTGTTACTTGGCCGGCTGAGATGAGACCCTTACAACCTGATCCGGATCATACCGGCGGAGGGACTGCTGCTCTTCTATTTCTTGACGATTCTGCTCTCTCTCTCTCTTTTTTTTATCACTCTTTGTGTGTTCTACTGTCTACCCGTTCGTCTCACCTGATCGATTCCTGGATACCATCAGGTACCCCTCACCATTCATCCCAATGTTACTATCATCATTGTTTTCAGAGAAAAGAACTCTCTTCTCTTACCAATTGAGCCCCCTTTTCCTGTAGGTAATTGAGACCATTCAAGATGCTGTCAAGTGAAGTTTTCAGCGGTGTTATGGCTGCTACGCTCATTGCAGTCGCTGCTTACGCAATTATCGTGAGTCGACGGATGGAAATTCAGTCCGTCCAAAACTTTGTCAGGTGCGTCACAATAAATCGTGGATGTCACGTCATGGCTGCTTGGAAATGTGCCTAACCTTTCAATTCAGTGCCAAGAACTCGACTACGACGCTACGTCTCGCGTGGTGTTTATTCTCGGCTGGAATTGGCGCAGGAACGCTCTTTTCGTACCCGCAGATTGGTGTGGATGCAGGATCATGGGGTGTCATTGGCTACGCGCTCTCCGGTGTCGTCGGTATGATAGTTCTGGCTCTTGCTGGTCCGTACATGCGCTCGGCACTGGGCGAGAACGTCACGATGACGGACGTCGTGTCGCAGCGATTCGGCTACATCATGCAAGTGTATGTTGGCTTCATCTCGATGTTCTACCAGTTCATCTGTCTGGCGTCCGAGTACACATCGATCGCCCAGCTCACGACCATGCTGTCGCCCGGTGCTCACCCGATTGTGCCGATCCTCGTCGTCGCTATTCTCACGAACCTTTATCTCGTCATTGGTGGTCTGCGCGCCAGCTTGGCGACGGATGTGTGGCAGGGGATCGGAGTTGTTGCCTTGGTCACACTCGTGTGCGTCGCAATGTTTTTCCACGTGTCTATTCCGGACGGCGCCTGGTCGAGTACGAACGTGGCTGCTTTCACGACCACAGGCTTTGAAACGCTCGTGACGCTCGTGATTGCGGTGACGGCAGCAAGCTTGTTCTTCACGGGTTTCTGGCAGCGCGTGTTTGCTGCCTACGACAACAGCACTTTACGCAAAGGGGCAATGATTGCCAGTGTGATCATCGCATTGTTCACTGTAGCACTTGCAATCGCCGGCATGGTGTCGTTTCTCGCGTATCCAGATGGTGCCTTGTTTTTTGCGATCTTGATCGACATGGGTCGCGGCTGGCAAGTGCTTATTGTTGTGGTGATTGCCATGTTATCAAGTGGCGTGTCCGACTCGATTCAGATAGGACTGGCCGCTGAGCTCACGACTTGTTTCCCCAAGATGTCGTTGGTGCACGCGCGCACTGTTTGTGGTGAGTGATTTGAGCTTGATGTTGTGTGTACTGCTCTGTCTTGGTAACCTCGTGGTCGTCTTGTTGTATCTCCTTGCAGTGCTTCTCAACGCTCCGGCTATTGTAGTTGGCTACCAGCAATACGACATCCTGACACTCTACCTCATTGCCGATCTGCTTTGCACGGCTGCCGTTGGTCCCATGTTACTGTGCACGTGGAAGCGTGCGACTCGCATAGGTGCACTGGTTGGCAGTGCTTCTGGGTTGGTTACGATCTTCATCTGTGGCGTCATTATGCAAGGCAAGTTTGTGGGTGGCTTCAACTGGTTCATCCTGCCAGAAGGTCTGTACTCACAGAACAGTATGATCACCTTCATCGTGACGTTGATTGTACCACCCGTCGTTACTGTGGCCGTGTCCTTGATGACAAAACCGGATGCGAACGAAGTGAACAGGGACAACAGCTACCTGCTCCAGCACTCTTTTGTCCGAGAAAGCACCAAAGCCTAGAGGTTTCCACGAAAACGCAAAGCATTTCGTAGCTGACGATTGAAGTGGTAGGCATGTGCATGTCGCATAGCCATAGCACGTTGGCATATAAATGGAATGAGCCATTGGCGATAAGAAGTTCTGTGAACGAAACTGACACGTAGGAAGCGTAAGAACCCTATAGCATTTTTCGATTGTTTACTGGTTAACTATCGTGAATGGTTTACAGCTGCCGTGCAGCAAAGCAAAGATGTTCGGGTAATGAAGTTGTGGTAGACTTGACATCCAAGCAGTGACAGCCACGGAGTCAACTGATGAGTTTCGTGACGTGTATCGCATTGAAGCAATAGATGAATTCGGGCATCGTGCTTGATGGTTCATACTACCTCAATAAATGGTGCTCTACTTTGACACCGAAAGGGCGAGGCATCCTATAGCTCCGGGCTTTTTTTCTCTCGATCCAGCAGCGAACGAACGATTCTGCTTGTTACTTTATCGGTCATGCAAATGATACTTGTCCTGTAATAAGCTTGATGAATTAGTTTCAGTGAAGCATCAAGGCACGGCTGGCTGTAACTACTAGTAGAACTAACAAGCGGCAAAATATCGCAGTATTCGAAGTTTGTCGCTGAAATTGTGGGTGGTAAAAGTGCCAATGGGACGAATTTGTGTTCGAGGCTGATCCCAGTTTTGGACGATGAATGCCTGAAAGCCTGAATCGCACAATAATCAAGCGAGCTTACAACAAACAATCTGCAAAATGCACACGGGAGTATCTCTCTCTCTTTATCTCTCTCTATTCTCTCTATTCTGCGCTCTATCTACCCACCATCTTCATATCTGTCCAACCATCATCTCTCTCTCCAATCGATCGATCTATCTATCTATCTATCTATCTATCTATCTATCTATCTCAATCTATCAAATTCTTTATTCATCGATATTGCCAACACGTCTATCCCCTATCATTCCTGTCTAGCGCCACACAACTGACGTCACCACAATTACAACTGCGCACCAGCAGCTCCTCATGACATTCATGCACCGCACCTTCACCGTCGGCTCGCGTGGCTTCCGACAGCTGCAGCGTCTCAGCCACTGCACCGCCCCGTCCCGCGCCTTCACTCCCTCGACCTCTCGACGGAGCAACCAACTGACTCCCTGATCAATTCGCAGAGCGCCGTGCGAAGCGCGTGGAGCGCAACGCCATTCGTCAAGCAGCCAATGGGAACGAGACACGCTCTGTTGCGCTGTTTATCGAAGCATCCGTGCGGTTCTACACCCGCCACTATGTCATTGTAGAGCCTCGGAATACGGACCCAAAGTTGTGGCCGGCAAAGCTTGAGCGGACGCCCGACCACTTTCTGAGTTCGTACACACAAGCGTTAGTGACCATGTACGACGGTGACGTCACTAAAGTCAGGGCGAGTCCGTTGCTAGTGACAGCAGCGATTCCGTACACGGAGTCGTACAGTAGTACACTAGAGCAAAAGCAAGGGAAGGAACTTGTGGATAGTGGAAAACAAGAGACGCATGACCTTCTTGTCTTTCCTGATGCTGTACGCATCCATAATGTCCGACTTTCGCAGAGTACGTTGCGGTCATTACTTATCTACGTTATTGCACCATTGTACTAGATAGTGTATCTGACCTGCAAAGTGTTTTCTGTAATGTCGACAGTCTCGATGCTAGTGCACGAAGCTTTGGAGAAAGCGGGTGACTTGACTGCATTGCTAAAACGAGAGTACGTGCGGCGATGATGAGTTTGTTCAGCTGGTAGTTGACAAGCATTTGTGGTTGTATACATACTCGATACAGAAAGATGCAGTCCACGCACATGAAAGAGGGCTACCATATCATGGTGTGTGGTCATGCTGCCAGGTACAAGCAGAGTTTGGTTCTCTCTCTCGCTTCTTACAATGTTCCTACAATCATCATTGCTGATCGTTGTTTATCGGATCCTAGAGACGTACGTTGCGGTTGCAAAGGTCCAGAATTGCTGCAGTGGCTGAATGCTTCGACTTTCGACAAACCGTTGACCTTGTGGATATCCAGTCACTTGGGCGGCCACCGCTTTGCAGCAACGTGTATCGCGTACCCTACCGGTGACTGGTTTGGTCTTTTGAACGATCCAGACAAGGCCAAAGACATGCTCGATGCTATCAACGACGAGGATCCGTTGCGGGTGTACAATTTGTGGCGTGGACGCATGGGTCTCACAGTGCAAGACATGCATCGAGCTGTCAAGGAAAGAGTTGGACGTGCGGAGGACGTTGCCTCACAGGCCTAGACACTCAATGGTAACACCAGAATTGTACTGTCGTCTCGTCCGACACTATACAGCTGTTGTCTAATGTGTGCTTCGATGTAAAGCGGTTATGTAGTAACGCTCGTCTCAACCTGCGCCAGTATCCCGATCATCATTGCTGCTGCTGCTGCTCGTAAGGACAACGCACAATTTGGACTTGCAGACTTCAATGTATGGCCATACATACGGGTTTTGGCTCCAAATCACACGTCAAACGGCCATGACTTCTGCCGTTACTCTGCGCGCTGATTGATCGTACGAGCACTACCGAATCGCTCACAGCTGTGGCTTTCAATTGCAGAAGGAAGTGAGCGGCCTGACGCGCGCCAGCTGGACGGTTGCGAACGACCAGCTGGTTTCTTACCAACGCAATGTAGCGAGATCTGGCTGATCCTATTGATTAACTGCTCGCGTGTGACTAATTAGGTGGCAATTAAAGCGCTTGCTGCTTCCCAGTTCTCGAAAACGTGTATGTAAAAGCTTCGCTCGACCACGGATGAGCTCGTCATAGAAAGCGCTACGATAAAGGTAACTCGATGAGTAAAAAAGCTGTCTGAAAATGATCCAGTCAGCTCGGACGCTCTCTCGGAATCAGTGAGCCAATTATCCGACATCCAGTCTGATTCGCCGCGGTTTTGTTCTATTTCGAAAGATAGTGGGACTCTCTACCATTTTTGCTGTCGACACCAAGCCATGACATTCGATTACTTTGAGTCGCTAATCAGGGTGTGAGGAGACCGCTGCAAGTGCTAATAAGCGGTGCTGCCACCTACCGCCCGACAAACAAAGCGCTTTTTGACACTGCCTCTCTCTTCTCTTGATCCTCAAGGCGTTCATTCATGGAGTCAGCCACCGAGGTGGCAGGCACCGCCGTCACTCCCGTCGATTGCCGTCACCACCTGCTCAGCGAGTTGAAACCGTCCTTCGAACAACTGAACGAGTGCAAGCTTCAAATGCCGAGTGTCCAGTGTGTGGAGCTTCGACGATGCCATCTGGCGATGACCTGAGCGGCGCTTTTGCGCAGAAACGCTGCATTAGACGGTTTCCAACGAGGTTCATGTCGCCGCGGGCGGCTAGCGTCCGTACCTTTCCTTACACTCTTCAAGTCTAATCCTACTGCTCGGTGCAGTTACATTGTCGTGAAAGAGTCGGTGGTCAAGGACGGAAATCAAGGGGAAGGGGAGCGAACCGTCCGATAGATCCCTCAAGTCTGGCCTCCCAGTCTCTTTTGCGCAGCCGGCCCGTCTACCACACACCGCACACCTTTAAATGAGCGTTCAGACGCCCTCGGAGTCGTCAATGCTCTTCTTGAATCACTCAGTGCTGCATTTGTGAATTTCGCTCGCCTTGACAAGCAAGTGACTGAGGGACGGACCGATCGACCATCACTCTCGCACCGCACTCGCCTCGGTTAGTTGTCGATTTCGTGGCGCACTCGATTCCATCTCGACTACAGCTACACAAAAAAAGCACTTTTTTCTCCTCTTCCTCCTCCTCCTCCTCCTCAACCATGGCACCTACCAGTGGCAGCAGCAGTCGCACGTTCCTGCCGTCGACCACCAGCGTCTCTCTCCACGCAGTCCCCAGTCCCAGCAACAGCAGCACGACTGACGTCCGTGCGGCGCCCTGTTCCACCGCGCGCTTTGCCCAGCGCCGACTGCGCGTCCTGACCGCGCCCCGTCACAGCAACAAGATGCACCGCACGCGGACGCTGTCGGAGCTCATTCTGCTCTCACCACGGAGCAGCTCGCGCGGTACGCGGCGCCACAAGCGCTTGGACATGGACATTGAAGTCTCGCGCTTCTTTGCTGCCAGCGAAGGGTTCGTGGACCTCTCATCGAGCAACTGCCACAGCCCCTTTGGTAGCAACGAGAGTAATACCGGTATCAGTACCGGTACCAGTACCAGTTCGTTCAGTAGTAGTAGTAGTAGTACCACCAGCACTCGGAGCTTCTCGGACGCGAGTCAGTTCCTTCCTGCTCCTGCTCCTTTATCTTCTCCCGTCCGACTCTCTTTCAATGGACTGCAGAACGACGAGGAGAAGATGGACGTGGACAACGAGCCCGAGTCCGAGGTCGAGCCCGGCGCAGAGCAGCCGCGTCCTCGCTCAGTCAATGAAGTTGTCGACGTGTTGTTTGAGATCCACTCGGCGCTCAAGAGCCGCCACTTGGGCCAACGCACAGCGGCGTCTGCGCTTGCAGCAAGCAACTTGGTGAGTACAATGGGGTACCCAACTGCTGTCGAGTGCGTGCCTCGAGATGTGCAGCTGGAAGCACTGGAGAACACCCGGAAGATGCTCGAGTGTGCGATTTGCCAGGAGGTCTTTACCAATGCAACGGAAGCCACGTGTTGTGGACAGATCTTTTGTAAAGAGTGCATTGAGCGCTGGGTGAGTGAACGGAGTTCCTGTCCCATGTGTCGAGAAGCCATTAGCTTCTCGCTCTTGGCAGCGTCTCGACATGCCCAGCGCATGGCCAATGAGATGACGGTCAGCTGTGGCTATTGCTCGGAGACCATGAAGAAAGCGAGTCTGGCTGACCATTTGAAAGCTTGTGATCAAGCGCCAGTGGAACCGCCACCCCCGGCAGATGTTGCTCTGCGACAGCTGCTGTTGGGCACGGCGAGACGCAATACGCTGTGTCTTGCACGGTTTCTCATGGCGACGTTGCCGCCTCAAGCGCTCATGATGCAGTGCTACATTCGCACTCGTGGTGGCGGGAACTATGAGCTCTATACACAAGACACGAACACGCTGCTGTGCACGGCCGTACGTCGACGTCAGTACGACATGTCGGTGAGTTTCCTCATTTTTCTGGCAGCGGACGTGGACACGACGGGCGAAGAGACTTTGACGTCTGATTCGGGGGTTGTGTCCTCGATCAATGCTGCAATGCCCGTGGCGAGATTGGACAAGAATTACATGGGATCGCAGTACACGATGTACGACACGACGGGGAACGTTCCACTGGAGCTGGGTGCAGTGCAATATGCAGCGACGTTTGGCAAGTCTCCGCGTCAGATGCGCGTGGCACTGCCGCTTGTGGAACCCATTGCAGGAGTTGATAGCGCGGTGGATGGCTCACCGTCGTGGGCGGTGCAGTCGTGGCGACCAGAGACTAAGGAGGACACGATTCTTTCCCAGGTGGAGAACCCGGACACAGCGCGTGCTTTGCATTTGATCAACAAGCCGCCAGTCTGGATCGAGTCCCTTGAGGCCTACTGTCTGGACTTTGGTGGTCGTGTGGCAGCTGCGTCTGTGAAGAACTTTTTGCTGTCGCACCCGCACGACATGGACAAAACGCTCATGCTCTTTGGCCGGACAGAGGATCGTCAGGTGTACTCGATGGACTATGCCCACCCGTTCACTCCCGTGCAAGCCTTTGCGATCGCTCTTAGCAGCATGGACTCGCATCTTGTGACTTTCGATTAGACGTGGGTTGGCTGTGGAGGTGATGCTTGCCTTGCCGTCACGTCACGTGGAGACACGAAGCGTGTACGGAGTTTCCTGCGTGAGATACCGTCACATTGGCGCTCGACGGCTATTTTGCGCGTCTTCGGTCGGTGCGACACTGGCCAAGCGTTTGTAAGTAGTAGCCATGCTTACTGTAGACACATTTATACGTCGTCATTGTAAGCGTAGAAGGGTTTATTTTGTACATGTAAAATAAGAGCGACTCGCTGCATGTTCTTGCAAATGACAGCGTTTTTTCACACAAACTGCAAGATTTGTTGGTCGAAACAGTGAGTGAGTGACCTACGAGATCGGTATGTTCGTGACGCACTAACACGTAGCACGAACGCGCTTTCGTGCTGACACTGCGCTGATTACATTGAAGGAGGTGGAGAAGCGGTCGTCTGGGAATGAAGAAATCATTTGTCCTGGATACAGTGTGCACTGGACAATTGACGTGATCAGATTGAACCCCACGGGCGATTTAGAAACCGTGTTCCCGTCCTTTGATGTTCCTCGCTTCCCTTCCGACTTGCCCCGTTCGAGAAGGGGACCGACACTTGTCTTTCGCTATGCATGTGCAGTAGACGGGCGTGCTTGGTTGCCGCACAGTTATTCCCATTGATTCGGGACTGATCCGGTAGATGGCTTGAAAGGACGTTGCATTCGATTGACGCAACCCAACCAAGTTGAATTGCCTATCGGTGTTGTCTGGAATGGACGAGGTAGTGGACACTGACATGCGCTTCACGTGGATTTGGCCAGCTAGACACTTTGACAAGGCGTAGTCTCTTGCCGCCGACCACCTGATCGACGCAAATTTTTCAACCGCAACCAGTTCTCAAGAGGAAATGGTAAAAAAAAGAGCCCACCTCCTCCTCTTCCCGGACAGGATAATGGACCGCTTGGCTGCTTACACGACGGTAGCTTCCGATAAGGTGCTGTTGATGATCACTAGTATTGCGATGGCGAAGTCTGCATATGAGTACTATGGTTCGTACCTATAGGACGTCTTTGGAGTCGCAAGTATCAGCTCAACTTCCATGCTCTAATGACTAAGAACCTTACAATGAAAGCTGTACATCTGCGCAGAAAAGTAGGCGCAAAGTGCACATGTCGGCCACTTCCTTGAGATCGATCTGTACTGCAACGATCCAGACTGTTTCTCTCTAGTCTACGCCAAGCTGAAGACTGTAGTGGGGTCAGTGCTCGATCGGCCCTGGTCACTGTGGTCATCGAGCAGATAAAGAAGGGATTTGAACGTTGCTGCTGCAAAGAGCTTGGTCATTCTGGGGCGACTGATTGAGGCTCGTGCCATCAATGTGATGGAACGAGGTACGGTCGAGAAGTCTAGGACTGAGGTACATCTATCTCTACGTGTCACGATACATAGATGCGATGTAATCAGCGATACTGGAGGTCGATACGGTAAGCACATGCGTGTCAAGCAGACACATGATCATGAGCTATAGTCCTTTGGGCAACTAGCAAAGACTGCAGGGTCTGCGTAACATACCGCACCCTGCAAGTGTACATACGCCCTTCAATCCAGCTCGCTGCTTTACTAAGCTCAATGATATACATTTACTCTTGTTTTGTGCAGCAGTATCGATGCATGACATGGCACCCGTGTGTATGCAATCTATACCATAAGCATATTAGTGAACCTAGGTGGTTCGATCAAGCTTTGATAGTTGGATCATTGATCGCTAGCTGTACGTATGAGGAGCTACCGCGTGCCTTTAGCTGCACAATCGAACAAGACCAAGCGCTTTCGACACGCTTAGCAGACACTGGCAACCACTGTACAAACAAAAGGAGGGCATTTTCCCGCGAGCTTTAGATGACAATTACGTCTTCGATGTTGATTCCGTCACCTGTGACGGTAAATCAATTGCGATCGAATCGATTCAGTAAAACGTTGCTACAAGCTGTTGAGCTTCGCCACGCTGGTCTCTACCTTAACTCATGCATGCATACGCGTGCATACAAGATTAAGGAGCACTGTTGCATCAGCTGCACTTGTCACGTATCTGATTGTACGGAGACGAATGCAATCGTGAAAAAGCCTTTTGTCGATCCCAAACACCACTCTTCTCAGTCAACAGTATCTTTAGCATTGGGTATCACGGTAGAGATCTTTCATTTGGATACGCTTGGCTGTATGATGTTGCAGTCTTTCCCGTTCCAAACACACACAGCATCTTCTCGGAGGCGTGTTTCACGCGCGTGATGATCTCAGCACGAACACCTACGTTACGCGATATCATTATCCAGCTACACTTCTTGACATTGACCACTTTTCTTAGGTCAGTTGCTTCAAGAATGCCGGGTTAACTCCGTTCACTTTAACCTTTTTGCGCAATTTTACAGATTCCAAGTATAGAAGAATGGATGAGAACCTTGAGCACAAACACACTGACTTGAAAATTGCCTGATTGGTGTGACCATCTATTCTTGACCGGGTGCCACAAGCGGATTTTGTAGGTGAGCCATGCTACCAACGCAAAATACGGGCCATTAACACTATGAAGGGGTGGATGAAAGCTTTGCGCATAACATACTCAAACACCAGCACCACACCCGCACTGTTTATAAACTCATGTGAATTAAAAGTGCGGGGTCGCGTATCTTTGATTTGGGCTGTAGACTTTGCTCTTGGGATAGGTCTTTTGATCGCGAGCGCTTAGAGAGTGTAAGTCCAGAGCGATCGAGGGCGATCAAGGGGCAAATCGACAAGTGCTCGAGCCTTAGAGGCAGCGAAATTGCGCACCTTTCGCAAGCAGCAATTTTGAATATTGCAAGGTTCCATCCGCAGTGCTTCATAAACTGAAAAAGTAAGGCGTTATAGTTACACCCTTCCCTCGCATTCACACGCTTTCGTTACGGTCTGCATAAATCGACACTTGCGCGCCCTGCCTCTAAATCGCACCCGCACAATCGTAAAACTGCCTTGAGCAGTGGATAAAAACATGGGTGTAGGATATTACCTTGCGCGGCGCTTCCGAGGATGCTACATCCTGGCTCATGTCGGAAAAAAAGGTCTCGGAAATAGAGAACGACATGGCTGAATAATGACACTCTTTGACTTGCATGACGTGACAAGCATACATTTGCTCTATCCATTACTGACAGAAAGCATGTCAGGTAGTCATTACGTAAAGCAAGAGGCTCGGATGGACACAAGATGCACGTCGATGCCGTTCGAAGCGCATAGCAACCTGGAACATTTGCAGAATCGACAGAAACTGCACGAGAAAGCGCCGTTTACGGCAATGACCGATGCAATGATACCACGTTGTTTTATGCTCCCAACCACTAATGGCCCAGCTGTCGCACTTCACCACAGCACTCTCCAGCCTTCGTCCATCCTTCACCCGTCCAACACGACTCGATACAACGCGATACCCATGCAACCTCACGCTGACTCACCGATCATCCATTCGCCGTCCGTGTACAATGGGCTGGAATCAAAACAAGCGCAAACGCCTGCTCGTGACTTCTTGCAGCTTGCCACATGCACTCCCCGTTACAAGCAGACGTCATCACCATCACCACTCGTACTGCAAATGGTGATGGACATGATACCTGCTTGTAACGGGATTCGTACCGCGAATGGTGATCGTGTTGACGTCGGCAGCTGCACGTTCAACCACTTCCGCCCAGAACGTCGCGTCCGTCAACCGCTGCCGTTCACCAAGACAGCTACACAAAGTACATCGCGCCTTTCATCGCAGGATGCACGTCGTACATGCGCATGTCCGTCTCCGGCGCAGTCTCGCTGAAGCCAGAGACAATCGATCCAGAGTCGCTGCTGTCCACCAAGAAGAAGCGAGCGCGGAACGCGACCAGATGCGAGTAGTACGCGGACGGCACCATCGACACGGAACGAGTGCAACGCGCGAACGTATAGCACAACTTGTACGTCAGTGTCTGCAGCTCGTCCGCCGTGAACCCAATCTCATTCAAAAGCACGTGGTAGTGCGTAGGGCGACTGGTCCCTTGCAGCCCAGCGTGGCTCATCAGGTAGAAATCGTTCTCGATCGGGTGGCAAATGCCCGTCTCCACAACGGTCCCGGCCTTGACGTTGCCACTTCGGTCAGCATCCTTCGCACTGTCAGGAAATAAGCGCGTGTTGTGCCGCTTCTGGACAATGACAAACGTGATCGGCGGCATGTAGCCCACCTCGAGCGCCTGGCACGCCTCCCGGATCGCCGTCACTTCATGATTCAGGACCATGTGGAACTGTCCCTCGCTCACACCGTCACGGTAGAACACGATGCGATCCGGTTTGCCGTGCGTCTGACGGTAAAACTGTTTCAGCAGCTCCATCGCCATGTCCTTCAGGTTCTCAATCTGCTCCACGCGGTGACCTTGCGCGCGAATCGCCGATGCGTGACGCACAAAGTGCGTGTCCATTGACGCCGTCACTGCCGCGATCGATGGACGCGTCTTATCCATTGGACTGGGGTGCGTCACGTCGGCGCCAAAGATGATGGTGCGAGACGCCGACACACGCGGCAGTGGCCCACTAATGACGCCGTTCAGCCCGCCCAGCTTCGTGTTCACCTTCATCAAGATGTTGGCAATGTACTGCGGACTGCACTTTGGAATGTGCTTGGCCAACATGCACTGCGACACGATGCCCAGTCCCGCTTCCGTGTCCGACATGAGTTTCAACTCGCCATACGCGTGCGCATCCGACACGGGGTTGATCATCCACACGATCTGGGGCGCCGTCTTGAACGTTTGGGTCGCCGCTTTCACGGCAGCTTGGAACATGCCACGAACTGCATCCTCTCGCCGCTGTTTCAACAGTATTGGCGGCAGCGCCGGCGGACAACGCATGCCCAGCTGACCCATCTGAGCAATCACGGCCTTGAAAAACTTCTGAATGTCCCCGAGACTGCAGCGCCTGGGGTCGCACATGCTGATGACCGCCCACGACGTGCACTGCGCAGGCGTGTTGAAGCGTTTGCCGCGCATCTTCCACGCGCCATCGCGCGGGTTCTCGCGCGCCCCGCCGCTGTACTCGATCGTGGGCGGCGGCAGCTGCCGTCCCGTCGTCTTGACCATGTTGGGGTCCACTTGCAGGCCAAACGCGCGCAGCGTCGGGTCCGTGCTAAAGCCCGCCTCGCGCAGCTTCTGCTCGATCGCGCGCTTGCGCTTGTCCGGCGGCGTGCACGTGAAGCGAATCATGTTGGCCACCTGCTTGTCCGTCGGCTTGCGCGGACACTTCTGGCCCGCTAGAATGCGGCACACCTCCATGGGCAGGTAGTTCTTCTTCTGCGGCGCGCCCACGTGCAGACACGGCAGCTTCGGGTACCGCAGCCGCAGCTTGTACGTCTGCTCAAAGTACTGGGCGATCGACACGCGCTGGCCGTCGTCCGTCTCGAAAAACGTGCGATCGGCCGCGTCTCTCGACAAGCCGTTGACGCGGTAGCTCCGCTGGACGCCTGGCCGGTGCGTGACGTGCACCTTGACGCCGCGAACCGCTTTGCTGAACGCCGCGTGCTGGTGCTTGGCCAGCGTCGTCGGCAGCTGCCGCAGCGCCAGCGTCTCGCTCAAGTACGAGAGCACGTCCATGGCCTCGACGAACGCCGTGGCCGCCAAGTCGAGGTTCACCACCAGTCGGTTCTGCGTCGCGCGCAAGCTCTGGAAGTAGCCGAACCAGAGCTCGGCGCCTTCGCCCAGCGACGTGGCGCCCGCCGCATGAAACAAGTTGCGGCCCACGACCGTGAAGCGCTGCGCAGCCGAGTGGCGCATGGCCACGTCGAGCGCCTGCAGCGCGTCGTACGGCGTGTAGTTGAGGGGAGGCGTCCGGCTAAAGAGCTCGTCCACGCTGGCTAGCCACGCCTCCTTGACGGTGGCCGAGAACCTCCGCGCCCCGGCCGCCGTCGGCGGGCAGCTGCGACGCGTCGAACGTGCGCGTGGCGAACGGCAGCCGCGTGGGCGTGTAGAGGTTGCGGCGGGCGTCCGAGACGACGACGACGGTGGGGAGTTGGCGCTGGAGGTCGGCCACGAGCGTCTGGAGGATCTGGTTGGCCAGCGCTTTGGGCGGCCCGTCGTTGCCGAAACTCCGGCCGCCCTGCTCCGCCATCGCCACGTCGTAGTGGAACACGTCGCCGGCCAGCTTCAAGTCGACGCGGAAGTGGTTGGCATAGACTTGCACGGGTTTCCCGAGCTTGCCGAAGCCGGGGCGCGGGGGGAAGTGCGTGTGCACGAGCGGGCGCACGAGCTGCGGCGCGGCAGCAGCGACGTGCGCCTTGTCTTCCAATTGGGACGCGAGCGCGTCGACTTGAGAGGCAGTAGCGGCTGCTGGGGACGCGACAGACGTCGGGGCGGCGACGGGAGGTGGTGGCGCTGCGGTTGAGGGGGCGGCGGCGGCAGCGTTACGGCCGCGAGAGGCGCTTTGGCCGCGGCCGCGACCACGGGGACGGCCAATGACTGGCTCGGAATCCTGTTGCGGCTTGTTGCGTCGACCAGGCATTTTCAAGAGTGAGGGCTTGGGAGGGAGGGGGGATGGATACGGGGGAGGGAGGGGATACGGGGGTTGGGATTGGTGCGAAAGGAAGTTGCGAACGACTGTGGGGTACGCTCGGTGGGACACGGCACAAAAACCAACCATTTTGTACCCCCAGTGGTGGTTTTAAGTGCCTTTGCACCGAGAAAAAGGACCCGCTTTGCTCAACAAAAGGTGGGTGTCCGCGCAGGATCTAATATCCGTGTCACTTCACGCTCACTTTATGCTGTCCACAATGAAGAACTAGACTATCCACGTTGGTGTTGCCACATTCGTGGCCTGTCACGGTCCAGCCGTCATTCTCGCTACTCCGATTCAGGCGTCATCCTGGGGTCTCGACGTTCTCCAACGACGGTTTGTCTCGATGGAATTTATGCGTCTATTGTTTCATGCTTTAAGCTGCTCAGCTATGGGTTCCGGAGGCCATCGCGATATCAGATATGCGCCGAAGGTGTGCGTGCAAGCCTGATCCCGGATTGTTGAATATCTAAACCAGGCTGTGCTACATTATGAAACCAATTTCAACTGGTGTGAGCACACCTACGCTTACCAGCCGAGCTCATGCGTCAGAGTCTCGCACTTACTGTAGTGTCATCCTGAGTACACTGAGCCCTTGCGACACCTCGCAGTTGTCGCTCCTACCCATCTACCGTGATCAAATGCACCAGCATCACTTCCCCATCGGCAGCCAGCTGCAACAACAGACAGAGACGAGACCCGCCGGAGAGCAGGAAACTGGCCCCCTTTCCTTGGGCGGGAAGTCCCCCGTAGTGGGGCCAAGGTAAAAAGGGGGGAGGGTTTCTCCTCGCTGCGTACGCTACGGGTGGCAGCTCAGCGTGTGACTCGAGAGAGGAGCGGTCCGCAGGATATCCTACTGCAGGGCACGTCGACAGTGGATCGAATCGCCCTGCAAAACAAAGAAGTTCCTACTCTTCGCGGTCGGGCTACAACTCGCCGACACGTTCGCTGAGCATGAGCCCGGTCCCGCGAAGAGAACTCCCCCAAACCGTGACGGCCCCATTCAGATCCAGTACCAGTTGTTTATGGACAGTAGCACCGAGCTAGATACTCTTCGTCCAGTGGTGCACCTAAGTTCCACTTCGCATTGTGCTTCAACAGGGCTTCAATGTGCGTACGGGCCGTTGGAATGCGTCCAGTGGGTATGTGAGCGCCCAAGAAATTGAGACTCGGTGTCAACCGCGTGAGCAAGAATGGCACGCTTGTATCTTCACTTCTACACTGAAGGATACAGACAACGCGTGGCAGTCAACACGAATCGCAGCAACTGCACTGATTTTGAAAAGTAACAGACTGTGACAGGCCGATGAAGGCGAGTTAAAAGGAGAGAGATCGCTTTGTCAACCGAGGCTTTCTACTAAAGCTCTTGACATCACGCTCTATCTATCGTGTATGCTCTTGCTTCCAATGTCTCAGGTACTGTTCCGAGTCACAAACACACTTTCCAGGGTCAAGTATGTGCTCTGATTGATCAAGTCTTGTTCTGAGAGGGATCTCTATCCAGCGCGCGAACGATGGAAATCTTACTTGCCAAGGAATAGCTGTAGAAGAGTTACTCGGGTCCGATCGAGTAGGCAATGTTTTGACTCCTACTGCAGCAGAATTCAAGGGATTGTCACTAGCTGATCGATAGCCAACCGTGGCACCATCATGCCTGGCAGGTACATCCACCCGAGCGTGACACGTTCGATTTGGTTGGCACCAACAAGTGATCACGCCACTCTGTCCTGATCGCCGCGTGAGGCAAAGGAGGTAGCACAAGCACTCTTCCCTTGCATATTCGAGAGTAGAGCTCAATGCGTTGTAGATCCTGGCCACAGTTACTAGAGTCATGTGCAAGTCGAACAAGATAACCAACTGCTGTCAACTGTGACATCAACAAGCGGCTCTTTAATTTGTCGTGTCGTTCCAAGAGTTGAAACACAGACTGAGTTAAATTGGGTCCTTTTCTCGGCACAAAGAAACGCCCAAAACCCACCGAGCGTACCCCACAGTCGTTCGCAACTCCCTTTCGCACCAATCCCAACCCCCGTATCCTTCCCTCCCTCCCCCGTATCCCTCCCCCGTATCCTCCCCCCCCTCCCAAGCCCTCACTCTTGAAAATGCCTGGTCGACGCAACAAGCCGCAACAGGATTCCGAGCCAGTCATTGGCCGTCCCCGTGGTCGCGGCCGCGGCCAAAGCGCCTCTCGCGGCCGTGGCCGTAACGCTGCCGCCGCCGCCCCCTCAACCGCAGCGCCACCACCTCCCGTCGCCGCCCCGACGTCTGTCGCGTCCCCAGCAGCCGCTACTGCCTCTCAAGTCGACGCGCTCGCGTCCCAATTGGAAGACAAGGCGCACGTCGCTGCTGCCGCGCCGCAGCTCGTGCGCCCGCTCGTGCACACGCACTTCCCCCCGCGCCCCGGCTTTGGCAAGCTCGGGAAACCCGTGCAAGTCTACGCCAACCACTTCCGCGTCGACTTGAAGCTGGCCGGCGACGTGTTCCACTACGACGTGGCGATGGCGGAGCAGGGCGGCCGGAGTTTCGGCAACGACGGGCCGCCCAAAGCGCTGGCCAACCAGATCCTCCAGACGCTCGTGGCCGACCTCCGGCGCCAACTCCCCACCGTCGTCGTCGTCTCGGACGCCCGCCGCAACCTCTACACGCCCACGCGGCTGCCGTTCGCCACGCGCACGTTCGACGCGCTGCAGCTGCCCGCCGACGGCGGCCGGGCGCGGGAGTTCTCGGCCACCGTCAAGGAGGCGTCGCCCGTGGCCATCCGCCTGCAGCAGCTGGACGAGCTCTTTGCCGGACGCCTCAACTACACGCCGTACGACGCGCTGCAGGCGCTCGACGTGGCCATGCGCCACTCGGCTGCGCAGCGCTTCACGGTCGTGGGCCGCAACTTGTTTCATGCGGCGGGCGCCACGTCGCTGGGCGAAGGCGCCGAGCTCTGGTTCGGCTACTTCCAGAGCTTGCGCGCGACGCAGAACCGACTGGTGGTGAACCTCGACTTGGCGGCCACGGCGTTCGTCGAGGCCATGGACGTGCTCTCGTACTTGAGCGAGACGCTGGCGCTGCGGCAGCTGCCGACGACGCTGGCCAAGCACCAGCACGCGGCGTTCAGCAAAGCGGTTCGCGGCGTCAAGGTGCACGTCACGCACCGGCCAGGCGTCCAGCGGAGCTACCGCGTCAACGGCTTGTCGAGAGACGCGGCCGATCGCACGTTTTTCGAGACGGACGACGGCCAGCGCGTGTCGATCGCCCAGTACTTTGAGCAGACGTACAAGCTGCGGCTGCGGTACCCGAAGCTGCCGTGTCTGCACGTGGGCGCGCCGCAGAAGAAGAACTACCTGCCCATGGAGGTGTGCCGCATTCTAGCGGGCCAGAAGTGTCCGCGCAAGCCGACGGACAAGCAGGTGGCCAACATGATTCGCTTCACGTGCACGCCGCCGGACAAGCGCAAGCGCGCGATCGAGCAGAAGCTGCGCGAGGCGGGCTTTAGCACGGACCCGACGCTGCGCGCGTTTGGCCTGCAAGTGGACCCCAACATGGTCAAGACGACGGGACGGCAGCTGCCGCCGCCCACGATCGAGTACAGCGGCGGGGCGCGCGAGAACCCGCGCGATGGCGCGTGGAACATGCGTGGCAAGCGTTTTAACACGCCAGCGCAGTGCCCGTCATGGGCCGTTATCAGTATGTGTGATCCCAGGCGCTGCAGTCTCGGGGACATTCAGAAGTTTTTCAAGGCCGTGATTGCTCAGATGGGTCAGCTGGGCATGCGTTGTCCGCCGGCGCTGCCGCCAATACTGTTGAAACAGCGGCGAGAGGATGCAGTTCGTGGCATGTTCCAAGCTGCCGTGAAAGCGGCGACCCAAACGTTCAAGACGGCGCCCCAGATCGTGTGGATGATCAACCCCGTGTCGGATGCGCACGCGTATGGCGAGTTGAAACTCATGTCGGACACGGAAGCGGGACTGGGCATCGTGTCGCAGTGCATGTTGGCCAAGCACATTCCAAAGTGCAGTCCGCAGTACATTGCCAACATCTTGATGAAGGTGAACACGAAGCTGGGCGGGCTGAACGGCGTCATTAGTGGGCCACTGCCGCGTGTGTCGGCGTCTCGCACCATCATCTTTGGCGCCGACGTGACGCACCCCAGTCCAATGGATAAGACGCGTCCATCGATCGCGGCAGTGACGGCGTCAATGGACACGCACTTTGTGCGTCACGCATCGGCGATTCGCGCGCAAGGTCACCGCGTGGAGCAGATTGAGAACCTGAAGGACATGGCGATGGAGCTGCTGAAACAGTTTTACCGTCAGACGCACGGCAAACCGGACCGCATCGTGTTCTACCGCGACGGCGTGAGCGAGGGACAGTTCCACATGGTCCTGAATCATGAAGTGACGGCGATCCGGGAGGCGTGCCAGGCGCTCGAGGTGGGCTACATGCCGCCGATCACGTTTGTCATTGTCCAGAAGCGGCACAACACGCGCTTGTTCCCTGGCGACTCGAAAGATGCCGATCGCAGTGGCAACGTCAAGGCCGGGACCGTTGTGGAGACGGGCATTTGCCACCCGATCGAGAACGATTTCTACCTGATGAGCCACGCTGGGCTGCAAGGGACCAGTCGCCCTACGCACTACCACGTGCTTTTGAATGAGATTGGGTTCACGGCGGACGAGCTGCAGACACTGACGTACAAGTTGTGCTATACGTTCGCGCGTTGCACTCGTTCCGTGTCGATGGTGCCGTCCGCGTACTACTCGCATCTGGTCGCGTTCCGCGCTCGCTTCTTCTTGGTGGACAGCAGCGACTCTGGATCGATTGTCTCTGGCTTCAGCGAGACTGCGCCGGAGACGGACATGCGCATGTACGACGTGCATCCTGCGATGAAAGGCGCGATGTACTTTGTGTAGCTGTCTTGGTGAACGGCAGCGGTTGACGGACGCGACGTTCTGGGCGGAAGTGGTTGAACGTGCAGCTGCCGACGTCAACACGATCACCATTCGCGGTACGAATCCCGTTACAAGCAGGTATCATGTCCATCACCATTTGCAGTACGAGTGGTGATGGTGATGACGTCTGCTTGTAACGGGGAGTGCATGTGGCAAGCTGCAAGAAGTCACGAGCAGGCGTTTGCGCTTGTTTTGATTCCAGCCCATTGTACACGGACGGCGAATGGATGATCGGTGAGTCAGCGTGAGGTTGCATGGGTATCGCGTTGTATCGAGTCGTGTTGGACGGGTGAAGGATGGACGAAGGCTGGAGAGTGCTGTGGTGAAGTGCGACAGCTGGGCCATTAGTGGTTGGGAGCATAAAACAACGTGGTATCATTGCATCGGTCATTGCCGTAAACGGCGCTTTCTCGTGCAGTTTCTGTCGATTCTGCAAATGTTCCAGGTTGCTATGCGCTTCGAACGGCATCGACGTGCATCTTGTGTCCATCCGAGCCTCTTGCTTTACGCAATGACCCCATGACACTCGTTCTGCTGGCAATAGATACAGCGGCGGCGTTTTCTGGGTTGGCTCTGGACATCCCACGACACTTCGAGGATTGCTTTTTCGCACTACGCATCTTCCATAGGCACAACTTGCACTGGGAGTTTCCCTCTTTCTTCCGTTCCAAATGAAGACACGCACGCTGTAATGACTGTGCGACATGGTGGCATGTATATGGTTGCTCGCATGGAGCTTAAAATTGGTCAAACACGTCAAAAGCGGCTCGGTCTTCGCCATAGAGCATGCCGGCATCGTCAACGGGTGAATCAGGATACTCGTCAAAATGCGTGTGGTCACCGGGGCCTCTTACCGGTGGCAAATAGGGCGGCGGCTCGGACCGTGCGAGCACAGCATCCCAGTCCACTTTGGCAAAGTATTTATGCTTCTTCACATCTTCCGCTCCATTCCGTAAACAGCCTAACAACCCACCCGCCCAACACCACAGCACAACAACATCACACACCATGTCCCATCACCACATACATCAAAATGAGTCCTCCTTCCAACAACCAAGCCCTCTTCCCAATACACACTCAATGAACCACCCGCACCCAATCGCTTCGTGCGGTCTTGTGACAAGAGCTTCTTGATCAAGTCCTTTGCCTTGGCATCAAAGTGTTTCGGAAAGTCAATCTTCCCGTCCAGAATCTTCTGATAAATGCCAAACGGGTTCTCGTCGTAAAACGGCGGATACCCGGCCAGCATCTCGTACACCAGCACGCCGAGCGCCCACCAATCAACCGACTTGCCATGTCCTTTGCTCTGAATGATCTCGGGAGCAAGGTACTCGGGCGTGCCGCACAAGGTCCACGTCTTGTCGGCAACAACCTTAGCAAAGCCAAAGTCCGTGATCTTCAGCGCCCCTTGTGCCGTAATCAGCACGTTCTCCGGCTTCAAGTCGCGATAGATAATGTCCTGCTTATGGAGATACGCGATGGCCAGGACCAACTGCGCCGCGTAATAGCCCGCGACGTGGTCAGCGAACCGGCCTTGTCGTCTCAAGTACGAAAACAATTCCCCGCCTTGCACGTACTCGAGCACGACGTACAGTCGCTTCGCGTCTTGGAAGTGGCCCAAGTAATTCACAATAAACGGGTGGCAAATCCGGCGCAGAATCTCCACTTCGCACTTTAGATGGTGGAGCTGCTGGAGCCGTAAAATTTCGGCTTTTTTTAAAATCTTGAGCGCACAAAACAGCGACGACGAGTGGCTGCGCTTAAGTTGCACGAGCCGCACCCGCCCGAACGTGCCCGTGCCTAACGTCGTGAGCAACGTAAAGTCCGCTAACTTGAACGACGACGACGACGACGACTGCGGGAGGGGCTCGGGAGGTAAAGTTGCTGGTGTTGCTGGTATTGCTGCGACATGTGCTTTGGCGTCTGTGTGGTGCATGTCTCCTGTACATGTGGTCGCGTGCGTTTTTTTGCAAAACATTTGGTTTTTTTGGCTGTTCACGCGTTTTTTTGGGCTTTTTTCCTTGGCGACTGTCGTCGACGACACGAAAGGGGTACGCGAAATCGATAGCGCTCGTGATTGGTCAATAGTCAACTTAATTGTGTTTGTCTGGTGTGGGCCAATTTTTGAGCGCGTCCGTGCGTACAATAATGGTGGTAGTCAAAATGGCCTCCTTGCAGCGCACCCGCGCGCGATCTGCGTCGGTCGAGGCGGTCGTCTTCGTGTGTGTTTTTGTGTAGCCACTTGGACTGGATAGCGAATGACGCAGACCACTGCGGACCAGTCGACGGACGAAGTGGTCGGTAGTCGCGCTTGCCACTTTAGTAGCGCGGGTGGGAAAAGCACGGACCCGGTCAAGATGGTAGTCGTAGTGGTAGTCAAAAAGGGAGGAGGGGAGGTGCCGCTTTTGATTGCCAACGGTTATTGCAGTTATTGTTGAAGGCGATTGTTTGAGGGTTGGATGCCGCAGATATCTTTTGGTTTTTATCCTCCTGTGCTCTTATTGGAAAACGATCAGATACTGGATAATCACGCGCGTCGAGTCGATGTGGGATATTCGATCGAACCTGTGGATGATATATGAGATGCCGTGATCTGATCGGATCATAACGGCCGTCTTTCGACGTGATCATCTTTGTGATGAGAAGACATGTGACTGCCTGCCACAATACCGGTAAGGAGCAGTACCTCTGTGACGCATCTCACGAGTTGCATCGATAGACTGGTGTTCGAAATGATGTTGAAGTGGCGAGTCAATAGCATTTTATAAAAAACAGAACTGACACCCAACCCAGTCGATCGCAACAACGTGCTTTCTACATTTGTCGAGGTGTAAAAAACACCTTCCCCAGCTGGTAGCATCACGTAAACACGGTACTCATTTCATTTTTTACAGCTTTACTTCATGAATGTGGAAGTTCAAGAGAAGACTGAGTATACGTACGTACATACCCGGAAACAAAGTAGACGACAGTGAAGCAGCTTGCGTGCCAACATAAAACTGAATCACATTGGAGCTCTAGTAAACTTCATAGTCAATCAGAGTTTGCTCGACTCCTATCGATGCAGATGTTGCTCAAACTATTGACAAGTGCTACTAGGTATTATGATGACGAAAATTACCAACTCGAAAAATGGCTCCGAGTTGGTCATGATCATCATCATAATACCTTGTATCATCAATTCACTTTTGTTTACGTCTAATCCATTTGCGCTTCGTCTCGCACAACGAGACACTTACAGCCAGCCAGCCAGTCAGTCTTTCACCGACAATAGGCACATCAGGTCAAGTATCGACCGGGCGGAAATTTATCTTGCACACTGCTGACACACACGTCACGAACTTTTATAGGACACGCACTAACAATCAATTGATCGCACATGCTTCACACATCCGTGCTGTCGACGCTGCTGTTGATTCCAGTAGGTCTTGCATTGACACGAGTCGACTCCAGGGCATAATCGGAAAAGTGCGAAGAAGAGCAGATCTGGGTACTGCCACTTGCATCGTGACCATCAACGGGCGACGATCCGTTCATACAATGCATTCCAGATGCGCCGCTAGCAAAGCTGCTGCCAAGAGATGAGTCGGTCACAGACCACGCACTCAGTGAGGTGTCTCGCGTGTCGCGGGTAGTAGACTGCTCAAGATCGGAAGCCAGTACGGAGCTCCACGACCCGCTGATTCCACTGCTGCTTGTCATAGATGATCCTGCTGAGTACAATGCAGATATCCGCACGTTTCCAGTATCCACGTCCACGTCTCCGTTGATGCTCTGCATGGGCGGCATGCGACTCCAGACGCCATTGTCATCCAGAAGGTCGCGATGTTTGCCTGCAATCATATCACCACGGAGTGACGGGACCTCATCGGAGCTTTCACCACTTGTTGACGATGCACTGTCAAAGTGATACGAAGGTACCCTAGCCGTGAGAATAGTGTCGTTGTAGCCGTCATCCATAGGCAAGTCGTCTTCCAGGAAGGTCGGTGAGAGCCGAGAAACCGAGTGCATTGTCATGCTGTATCTATACGGAAGCGGGCTTTCGTCATCTTCATCAGTGTAATTCTTCCGGCCGATCAGTACGAAAAGCACCAAGAGTCCTACGATGCTCACGACGACACCGACAACAGCGACGATCGACCCCGTGCCAAGGCTGTAGAAAGCGGCAGTACTCGTGTTGACGTCAGACACGCCACCAGGATTCAAAAGCACTTCAAGGCCACTGCTGCCACTGCTTTCGTCGCCACTTTCGCCATCGTAACTTCCAGTATCCTTCGTTACCCCGCTCCTGAACCTGCTCTTGTCGCTGTTTTCACCGTTGTGGCTACCAGGGTCTTTCCTTACTCCACTCCGGTAGCTGTTTGCACTATTGGCCGGGCTGTTATCGTTACTGCTACTGCTCGCCTCCTCTGTAATATCCCTGTCGCGGCCCAGAGAAGGCAATGAATTCGAGTCCTCGGTACCCGCGGTCCCCAATAATCCACTTACACCAGCGTCAGCACTTGAGTTCGCGTGAACTTGCCCTGGACTAGCAGTATCTTTGCTTCCTCTCGTTACCAATCCCGTCACTGTTTCATTCCTTGCGTCAGGCAAGTCCAATGATGCAGCAGTCACCCCAGCTGACGCGTTCGCTATAACCAAGGGAGTACTATCTCTTATTTCTGCTGTCAAGGCAACTGGCAGTCGAGGTGCTACCAAGTCTCCTAACGCCGAGCCAGCTTCAGTAGTGGCAGCCTCCCCATTCTCAACTCCGAAACTCGCAACCCCACGAGGTCTGCTGCTTTGTAATGCAGGCAGTGACCCACCGACCTCTGCCGCCGTCTCTGTCGCACGTGCTTTTGGCCCAGGAATGTCCTTCGCATGCAACGTCCCCGCCTCCAACCCATCCCTTGACACTGAAGTCGGTAGATACTCTGGAGCATCCATCCAGACTGGCACAGGAGCTCCTGTTGCAACCGAGACCTCCGGTAGTGGCACCTTCTCCAACGTCCCCATCTCGCGCTCCCCGCCATCTACTGCTGCCTCAGCTCCAACCTCGTCATGGTTCAACGCTTCGAATATCGCCGCATCCGCCTGGTTATGCAACCTCGCTTCAGCTTCAACGTCCTTCTGCCTCGTCTCTTTTTTTGCCGTCGGCCTCTTCTGCTTTTCCGTGTTCTTTTTTTTTCTTCTTTTCTTGTCGCGACGGGTTGAGGTCGTCCCTGGCTCTTGTTCCGTCCGTGTCCCGTCTCTGTCATTGCGACTTTGGAACATAGCAGGGCCAGGTGAAGGAACCGGGTCGGCCACGGCGACGACTGCGACGACTTCACGCTGTTTGACCGCGTCCACAGTCGCCTGATGCGTGTTCTCGTCGAACGAAAGGAGACGGCGCCGGACAGCTGAGCCACTCGCTGTCCATTGACCTGCAGACGCTGTGACGGCGGCAATGAACAGCGCACCAAGTGCATGGAAGAGATAACGCTTTTTTCGCGCCATAGCTGCTACAAGAGCGGCGGCGTCCTCGGGCTTCGGCGCCGATAAAAGAGTAAAGTGCTTTTTTTGGCTGCGAATAATTCGAACGTGCTGACTAGCGAGCGGTTCTGTACCCGCGGACAAGAGACGGGACGGGACGGGAGCTGAGCTATCACGGAGGGGTGGGTGTCTGGGGCATAAATTGGTCGGTCGGTCGGTCACGGACAGGGGTGGAAGAGAGCGGGTAGGGGAAGATAACAGCTGACTGAATAGCATCGGCCTGTGGCAGACGGGGCGGGCGACTGTCGAGTTTTACGGCAGCAACATGTCGACGAGGATAAAAAAAGGCCGTATGGTTCTTGACATGGGTGCACGACCTCTATAGAAGGAATGTCTCCCCCCTGTTGCGCACATTGTCAACGCTATGTCGTATAGAGCATCGACTTGACTTTAACCGTCAACTGAATCGATGAAGTAGCAGCAATTGGCGGAACACATGGCTGCAACAAACGGTTCGGATGAACCGCTCATGGGCTAAATAAAGCTGCTCATAAGTGGGTGCAAGATTCACAAAAAAGAGACGACACGTTTTAGACCACGCGGTGCACGACAATCACACGACGTCGTGTCGGACTTGGGTGCTCTATCGTGCTTACAAAAGTCCTGATAAGTGTGCAATTACGATGAGAAGCTGCTCAAGCTTTTGTTGTGCGAGTCCATGGGGCAGACAGCCGTCGTACCGCATCAAATCACGAGTTTTTCCAAGCGTTTTCGAGCATGAAGGATAGCGACCTTTTTCATTGTTCTAGAAGAAATACCAGCAATGTGTTTACATCGCTTCTCTCTTTATACATGACACGAGCACCTTCTCATCGTATACGTGGCCGATCGGTTGCTTATTTCACGGTAAACAGAATTTCGTGCGCAGTCTCTCCCGGTTTGTCTCGGGTGCTGCTTTGGAGCTTTCTTCAGGAGCAATTGCAGGGTGGCTAACTTGGTTGATGGGTCCCGAAAGCAATCGTGTCTAATTACGCCATGTCCATCACTTTCATTTCCGCAGTCCCATGTAAAACCGTTCGCAGAGCCTAGCGCCAGGTATCGGAATACCCATTGGACTCGATGTGGCACTCTTCGACTTAGCGGCACTTGAATTGCATTACACCACCATGCGGCGGTATAAGCTGTTGCGTCACGTCGATCAGTCGCACTGGGTCGCCAATTACATGCAGGTGCAAATTGCTCTATGTTACGACTCGTCATTCTCGTAAGCTGGCAGTAATGGTTCTTGCAGTATAAGTGGGTGCCACCAATCTACTAACGAGGTGACCAACAAGTGCGCTTCCCCGAAAGTTACCAACCGATAGCGCCATCAGTCCAATTCCAGCTGAACCACTTTGCTAGTAAAGGTTAGAAGCGCAAGCTAAGCTAAACGGGTAGAAAAGTCATGTGCTTACTGCACGCGCGATAGACGTTAACGTTTCGATACTTTCATTCCCGGATAGTAAGCTAGCTAGTCGCACGGCATTCCAGCACGCTGCTGGAAGCTGTCACTAGGTCGAAATTACTAGCGGCGCAAGTCCTGCCAATTGCCCGGCCTTCCAATGTCGTGGTGTACTTTTCACACTAGCTGCAAGACGTTCTGGTCGTACCACATACCAACAGAAACAACCGTCTTGACGAGAATCCATGCCCGAAGCGCTCCACATATCGTAAAATCACGTGGTGATCATCTTGGTCCTTGCCCCGTAGCACGGCTTTCCTGCTCCTCCCCCCCCCCCGCCTACTTCGTAAAGTCATCGTGTCCACAGTAGCCGAACACACAGAGCTCATCTGGCAATAGGCGTGCAGCAAAGTGCCACCACCAGGGCAAGCAGAAACGACTCCAGTTGTGTCAGACCGCGCGAAGTGGAGCGTTCAGCTCGACTTGCAGATGACAAGTAGTCCAAACTGAGCGACCGCTCTTCCAATTCTGATTGTAGTTGCAGTAGTGTAGCGCCGGATGGAATCGGACGGGTGCTATCAACCGAAGACACAGGATGATGATCGATCACTGACGAGTATTTTGAGTACACTGCAACGGCAGAGCACTTGACCATTGTCCAAGTCGAACTTTCACACTTGCTTTTTACGTTGATCACAACTTGTAACGACGTTTTTTGCAATCCATAACTTCCTTCGTACATTATTATCGTCAACATAAAACATTTCTTACAGATCCTGAAACACAAAGCGGTCGCTAATGCCTGAGCTCGTCCGCAGCATAAACCCACTTGATCGGTGACCTCTTTAGTGTGTCAAATCTAGGTGACCATGCCCGGAGTTCATCAGCACCATGTATCGTTTCCGGTCTCCGAAAAAGCCATGCGCAACAAGACTTCGTTGTAAATAGGAATCTCATCTCCAATCAAATCAGACTTTTTAGTCTTGTGTGAAAAGTTTTTGACACTCAAGTAAGGAAAACAACGGAAACTGCCCGAGGTTGTTTGCGCGTGCTACGTGAACTTGTATCCGCATAATTATACAGACATCCCTGCTCTCTCGTCTAGCTGGCGTCGCGATCTGCTAGACACGCTGCGAACCTGGAGATCACTTCGTAACACGGACTACTTCTCTTCCATCCAACTTGTCATAAGTCACCGACATCCACATAGTATTTCACCACCACCATACAATATCACTCAATAAGAGTTCATGATCAATGAGTGGTCTTTGAATGCATGCTGCTCGTGTTAACTGCAAGCAGTGGCAGGTCCAACGCGGTAGTCTATGAGCAGTCCACCAGCACCGTTACTCCATAGTACAGACATCGATGGTCATTTGATTTCAGCCGGCAAGCTCTTCGCCGTGTAACATGACCAAAACTAACCCAGTCATCTCCTTCGTACGCATCGCGTGCTATCATCAACCAACTTATGTCGGAAGAAGGTAGCACGCATCACGCGTGGATGCGCCACATATCGCCATTTGGTGATGATACCCAGAGGCAAATTTGTACACGCCAGTCACACAACGCGCGGAACTAATCTTAGCAAATAACGAAGAACACACATCATCATCATTCGCCCGATCTTCTAGACTCCTTCAGCATCAGCCGATAAAGTCGGCACTGAAGCAGAATTCAATGTGGAGTTACCGAGCAGCATTGTAAGCAGTTGACTCTCCATGTACTCCATTGCGTATCGTTCGACGATTTCGTCCACCAGCTTTTTTCGCGTAGGGTATGGCCGCACGTACAACATGGTCTGAAATAAAAGACGTGCATTGATTGTTAGAGCATACAGCAGTGAGAGAACTCGAGTATTCTGATCGTACCTGAGATCGACACACCCGATTTGCATTCATAGCTGTCTGGCGCACAAGTTGAGCAAGATCGGCCTGGTGAATTACCATGCCAGACTGTAGGGGTCCAAAAGGCGGCACCTTATCCTTGGCATGGATCTTGATCAGGAACAAGCCACGTTGCGTCTTGCGAAGGGGATATATCACAATTTGTACGTCATTGAAGTGGCTTGTAATGGTAGACGGATCGTAGCTCTGATTAGCATTATCGCTCCAGACGATGTGCACGTAGTCATTACCCACATGCCGTTTCTTGTCAATTTGCTGCGGATCTGACGGTTTCGTAGGTATCATTGTCACGACGTGATATATCACCTCACTGTGAGAGCTCGCATAGTATAGCGTCGTTTTTCCGTTCGACAGACTTCGAGGGTTTGTGTCCAAACCACCGACAAAACCACGATGGGTCTGCATATTCACCTTCCAGCCAAGTTGCGACAAAAACATCTCGTAAGCGCGGCTGCCCTTCTCATTGTGGAGAATTTCCTGCTGAGTGTACTGGTTTTTGTCCACATATATCACACCAATCTTCATGGTCTCGCGTGTTGGGCTCTTGTCCAAGTGCTTCAGTGACCGCTCCAGTTTTGGCCCATTCTCAAGCAGCTTAAGTGTCGAGTTCTTCTTCGAATCGCCATCAAAGGAGGGCAACAGTCCGGCCTGTGACAGGAACAACCGACATATATCAAGAGCACTCACACGACTATCCTTTAGGCCGCCCTGCGAGGTTTCAATTAATCGCTCCGCCGCTATCACCCCAGGCTTCGTCATTCGCATCAATTGCTCGTCCGCGTTGCGCTTCTGTAGGGCTAAATGAGATACTCTGGCATTAACTTCCATTATCGAGAACGCATCGAAAAGTGCAAGCTGAGGTGGAATCGACGGCAAACTGGAGTTTTTGCCGTTACTAGCCGCTGTCGAAGCTGCTGGCGGTTGATCCAGCGCTGCCACATACTTGTCAAGTAAACCTGACTTGCTAAAGCATTCGTACTCGACGAACGCCATGGCGCGCTCAAACAGTGAGCCAGGGAGAGAAAACGCAGGACCAGACGAGTCTCGTGCCGCTACTCTAAGGACAGCCTGGGCTTTGTGAATTTGAGTCTGAACATCCATGACGACAGCGGGTGGAAAAGTGATCTTTTTACCTCCTTCAACGGTCAGAAATTCCCAATAAATGACACTAGCCTGACCGAGACGATCTGTCGGGACCGACGAGCGCTCGTATTTCTTGACTGCATCACAAAAGTCTACAAGCTCTTTTCCCTCGACATTTTCATCTTTTATCAAGAAATTCCTCAGCTGTGAATAACACTCTTCATCATGAATAAGCCGCTGTAAAAATGAGAATCCAGGAGCTTCGGCCGAATCCATCAGAAGAGGGCTCAAAGGGGGTGACAAGTCCACAAGGTTGTACCGCATCATCGAATAGCGCCCACCCAACAGGGTCTTGTCAGTCGTATCACCACCACAATCACGGAACACCATAGGAACGCTATCAAGCACAAGATCCAGTAGACACCGTTCATCGTCTAGACTGCCAACATTCGGCTCGTTTATCGACATGTCGAAGAGACCACAGATAGTAGTCGTGGTACGGCGCTTGAACTTTGATTCCGTTTGCAGCGGACACTGGCATGCCATCTTGTGCGGTTCCGGGCCAGGCTGTGCTGCGGCGCCCGTGGCATTGCGCTCCTCATTCTGCTTTGCGATGCGCTCCAGCCGCTCCTGACGATCGTCTTTATTTCCACCGACTGGCATCTTTTCAATCTCAGATGAGCGCGACTTGTCTTTCTTTTTCGACTCACCACTGTCTTTGGTACTTGCACTCGCAGATACCGTCCCATCGTCATGAAACACGTACGTACTCTTTACTGGGCATACATTGTTGGAAAGCGTATCTCGCTCCTGCTCCCAAGAGACCTGGCAGGCCTCAAGCTTTATCAGAGTACGCCCGCTTTTCGCGTCAGACGAAGCAGGCTTTGTCGGAGGCTTTTCTCCACCACACGTCTTGCACATCACGTTAACGTCATCGCATGCCTTAAATTTTACCTGCACAGCACCAGTTGGTCTGTGTAGTGTCAGCATCTTTGTCTCCGTCTCTTCCACATCCGTCTCGAGCATCAGTTCTCTTTCTACAGGTGCACTGCTACTTGCGACTGAAACTTCTTCGGTAAGAGAATGGCTTCCTCGAGTCACCTCTGCTGGTGTTATCTCCCACGTAAACAGACCCGTCATATCTCTTACAATAAACCGCGCGCATGGCGAATCAAGACTGCCAACAACGCTGAACACGATTGAATCCATGAAAACAAAGCTCAACGCACCAGTCGGCGTCTCGTCGTCCTCACCATCGCGCGCGACATCCAATTTGGACAGCTCCGAGCAATCCGATATCATCTGATCAACGCCTGCAGGTGACGGGAACCCGTTGATATGGTGAAGCAAGTGCATCAGAAGTCCCTCAGCAGCAACTGCAGTCTCTTCAAAGCACTTCAGCCATGCATGACCAGGCTCATTGTCAAGTGATGCACGCATCTGCAAACCCAAAAACAATAGCGGCATTGACATGCGCCGCTCAAGTGTACGTGCACGTTCTACCTCGCGTTGCCACTCTCCGTCTGGCAGTGTGCCTACCAAGGCGGCTTCAATTGCGCTGAATATCAACTTCTTCACATCCACATCTTGAAGCACCTCAGCTCGGTGCATTATCCAGAAACGAAGACACTCGAAAATTGCGCTAGTTTTCTGTACAATCAGGCGAAGGGCCGGAATGTCTTGCTCTCGGTGGCCAGCCACCGAAGATGATGGAGCACTAGCAGGGCCGTCTGTTGAAGGGGAAGGCGCAGATGATGGAGCGTTTGGGGTCCCAGGCTTCAACTTGCTTCTCAATTTACTGAACGCATCTGTGGCTTCCGTGGGGTTACCCGGACTTGGGCTCTCCACACGACTAGCCCTAGAATTGTCGCTACCACGACGCCCACCTCCACTGGACGAGAGCTGTGTTCCGCTTGCAAGACTCGACCCAGTGAACGAAGCGGACTTGGTAGCAGAGCTGTCGCTCTCACCCAATGCATTGGCTGCACCCATGCGCTCCATCGCTGCCTGTACCTCAATCGAGGCTTCCTCAACCTGTTGCTGGGCGAACACTGCCAGCGTCATGACGATTCGTGCCACCAAAGACGGCTCAAACGCGTTGATCTCCTCGTGGTAGTCGGACATGTCCTGCAGAATAGTGAGTGCGGTTGTAGAAATAGAAAAATCCACATTTTGGCATACGTCCACGAGGTGGACAACCCACTCCGAAAGATTAATCGGATCCACTACATGTTCTCCGGTCTCGTCAGGTTTTAGGTTCATCACAAGGAGGCAATACAAACCCCATAACGCACGCTTTTTGATGTTTACGACATCGGTAAATGGAAGCTGGGCGATACGAACTAGAATACGTCCAATGATCACATGGAAATCGTCCAATGCCTCCGGAAATTCTCCAATTATACCCTGCACCACTGCGAGCTCATCAATGCCGCAAACACCTTGGATCTTTTTTTTCCAACGTACGAAATCCTGACCTGGAAATCGCTTGGGCAGCTCCAAGATGGCGAAAACCACGTCGAGCGCCGCATTGAGCTCGTTGTTCCAGTCCGACGCGTTTACTTTTGACTTCGCGGCTCGAGTCCAGATGTTGCCGATCACGATTGCATCGACAGCATACAAATATGCAGGCACAAGAATGTTCAGGCCTTCGAGGTTCATAGAAAACACGCTTGACGACTTTTGCAGCACAGTAGAAACAACCAATCCTGACGGAGAGGTAATTCCTTTAAAGAGGACACGAGCCACGACGGTGAGATGGCTGCGAGTAATCGAGTTGACACAGCGTACTGAGCAGAGTTTGCAAAGTGCCACGATTGCTACGCACCGGGACGGTTGGAAATCTCCGGCATCCAGCTCGCATGCTGGCAAGAACCACTCGCCAAACAACGCAAGAACCGTCGACGGACTAATTCGCTGAAGCTCCGAAGACGGGCTTCGGCGTGCCTCAATGGCTGATTCAATCCAGAGTTCCACGAGCTGTAGCATACCTTCAGTCACATTCAGATGCATCGATGGCGTCAGAGCCGACACCGCTGGAGGAGGAATAAGGTGCAGTACACGGTCAAGCAGCAGCGTAGCGCCAGGTGTATCTACCACTGTCATCATCAAAAAATTGGCTGACGACTGAAGATATCCCTGCTTCGTCTCCCGCAGTGTTTTACCGCTTCCCGGAGCCCTATCGTTCTTTCCTCCGCCATCACTCTGAGGCAGTAAGAAGGCTCCTTCCGGCGTGACTTTCAAATACGAATATCCCTTGTCCATCACATACATGAGTAAACAACTTGCAAACCGAAGTTCACGCTTCCAGCAGTTTATCATTTCGGCACCCACAACCTTGGTATCTGCAGGATTGACAAGCCATCGTCGAATGGCAATAGTCAACTCCATCCATACCTGTGCGCCTGTAGACTTCGCGATCACTGCTGAATGCATCCAAACATGCAAAACGATCGACAGCATCGCAGTGAGCACATGTCGATGTCCTGGCTCGCGTAGCATGATACAATTATCGACTGTAGATATCACAAATTTACGTAGGTAAGTGGATGTGTAGTCGTCAAGTCGCCGCTGGGACACGAGCTCGAGGAGTTCAATACAGTGCAGTAAAATCTTAGAATCGTCTAGCTGCACGGATGGGTGAAATAGTTGCGAGACGTGTGATATCATGGCTCGAGAAACCTCGTTCATTTGGGCCTTCATGCCTGATGGCACGTGCTGCGATCCAGTACAGACACCAGAGTAAAACTTGATGGCATCCACCACCAGCTCTGTGTCTCGGTATGCAAAGCGTTGGCGAATAGTTTCCATGACAACCTCCGAGAACTCACGCCGTGACCACAGCACTTCCATGTATTCCTCCTTCGACCGCAATTTATAAATCCAGCGCGCAACCACTCGCTGAAAACTGCCCGGACAATGATGGAAAAATCCCAGCGAGTCGCCTTCCTCTTTCAACTTCACCTTAAGACACACCTTAGGGTACAACAAAGGCATATAGAACTTCATGATCAACTCGGCCCAGAACACAAATCGGTCACTATTGCCGCCCGAGGATTTACCCGTCGTGCTTACAAGTGCAAGTTTCCCCGGCACATCTTCTCGTTCCAAGCTCAAATCCATCAGGAACTTCAACATATCCACTGGCTCCTCAGCTTGCGTCGGCATGGGCCGCATCCAGCCTTCCACGTGTACCCCTTCATTCAAAAACTTGTCCGGTAGTAAAATACTGCCGCCTCCATACGGCGAAAAGTCGACGCTCTCGCGCAGTAGCTCCAGGTGCATGTTCTTCCGGCTTAGTATCGCCTGTGTCTGTGCACCCCCGCCCCTCGTATCCTCTTCCTCTGCATCAATATCAATCTCCACACCATCTCCCATGAGACGAATACTCCCAGCTCTCGAAGCTTGGAAACTCAACGTGCTCGTCGCCGGCATCGCCGCCAGCTGCTGCAAGTTCCTCGTCGCGTCCGTATACAGCGCGAGACAGCGGAACGCGTACTTCTTGATCATCGCGTGGTTGTCCCGCTTCAGTAGCTTGGCAAAGAGCACCGTGAGGCCGTTCGTGTTCCAGCCATCGCGTAACCGCGCAGCATTGTTGCGCAAGAGCACCTCCATGCCTTCAAACACTTCGCTCCAGTCTTCGGCTTCCAGGGGCTTGCGTCGCTGCTTCCGGAACGCCGTCTCATGCGGCGCGTAGAGCGTCTCGAGCTCCGTCACGCAGTCGCTCACGACGCTAAACACGAGCGTTGCGTTCGACGTGTCGGCCCAAAAGTCCGCGACGGCCGCGGCGTGTTCGGGCCCCGCGCTGGTTGCAGCCGCGGAGCTGCTCGTGTCTTTCGACGACGCGCCACCAGACAAGAGCGACTGGACAGCGACGGCAATGTTCCCCCCCAGCGCGTCCGTGCCTGGCGGGTGCTTGAGAAAGTCCAGGAGCGTACGCAGTCGTTTGCGGGGCGGCCGGTCGGGCGCGTAGAACTTGACGAGGCGCTTGATCTCGACGACCTCTTTGCGCGGGGCTTTCGCGTCCGTCATGCGCTTGGACGTGTCCATGATCGAGTGCGGAAAAGGAGTGTGTGTCTGCGTGTACGGGGATAGGTAGGGTGCGGAGGGAAACGCGCGAGTGAGACGGTGTGATTGGTGGAAATGGATTTACAAATGCGAACATTGGTGCAAATGAAGGATGGGGGGATGTTTTGGAGGGTGGGTCGGTCCTGTTGACGAGGGTGGGTGAGTGCGTTGGGTGCTTTCGAAAAACAGGTGTCGAGTCGTAGTAGTCGTGCCAGTGGGAATAGTAGTGATACCTGTGGAATAGTAGTAGTACCTGTGGGAATAGTAGTAGTACCTGAGAAGCAGTAGTATACTGTTTGTAAATGAGTACTGATATAGTGACGGCATTACTCAAGGTCGGTATACCGGCCGAATGACGCTGCGACTTCGAGTTACGGTACAGCCGACCTTACGCAGGCCGGCTGAATTACAGCTTGGATGATCGGACGAGTTTGATGTCGTACAAGAGCGAAGACGCATCAGCTAAGGCCATTAACTTCTCGTGGAATGTCGAAGACTAGGCCTTCCCGATGGAGCATAGTGGTACTTACACATACGACCAAGAGTATAGCTTCGACTGCTAGTGTGCAGGACTCCACATCATGTTTCTTCAGCTATCGGCAAGGTGGATTCATCATGACTCACAAGTATAGCCTCCGCACTCTGGCAAAAAGATCGCTTGCTTAATGCTTCACTGTGCGCAAACACGCTGCAGCAGCGATCTGATCAATTGCCTTCTCCTCCACAGTGATCGTAACACTCGTTAGATAATGCACCTCACTCACCCTACTTTGGGTCTGTTCGTGGCCACGCAGGCGCATTCTCAGCGATAAATGCACGGAAAGAGCGTGGCTTGCGACCCAAGAGCGTCTCCATGAGAGTCGTATCCACTGCTTGCTGCGCCCCTGCCTCCAACGCTCGGATCACCGCTAGTTCTTCTTCGATAGCATCACCAGGGACTCCGTGCACCCAACGTGCAGGTTGTACGGCCCACAATGGGAAGTACGAGTAGTTCACTTTTTCCCCAATACCTTCCGACAACAGCTCGGCAACTTGTGGAAATGTCAACGCCTCGGGCCCTGTCAACTTGAACAGTCTGCCTGCATCAGCAACGCCAGCATCCTCTTTTACTATCAAAGCACTCAAAGTCTCTGCAACATCTGACGGATGCACGAATGCAACACGCCCGTGCTTGATACTAATCGAGAGGGTTCTTCCGCACACTAAATCAAACAGTCGACCATGCAGGAAGGCGTCCATTCCCGTCGGAGCCCGTACAATTGTCAGGTTATGAGCCGATGCGTCCTCTCCCCCAAGTCTCAATTTCAGCTCCTGCTCGATCTCCCACGTAGCTCTTCCCACCGCTAAGGGGGACTGTGCACTGACAAATCCTTCCATCCACGATAACTTGACGACCCGATGAGCTTTTGACACCAAAGTTGTCACATTTTGTTCACATTGAAGCCATTCCTCCGTCAAGTCACTCGGTACATTGATACAATCATCACCAGAGCCACTGGCTGCCAGTATCACTCCATCACATACATTTAGTGCTTCTTGGAGATCCTTTGGCTCGCCCCAGTTTGGAATGGATTCGTGTTCGTGGGATACTAAAAGATCCGGATAATGGAGACGCAGCGAACGTTCGAGGTCCCGAGACTTGGATGAAATGAGAAACTGGATACGATTTGAATGAGGAGACGCACACGATGAGGAGACAAAGTGGAGCAACGAGGAGGCAAATGGAAGCGAGCGTCGGGTCAGCGGCAGCAGAAAAGTAGGCGACATCTTCGTGTGGATTATTCCTCCAGATGTTGGAAAGCGATTTATCCTTCGAAATGAAAGGAGATAAAACCTCAACATCAATTTCTTCGTCATCCGGATATTTACGCAGCGAATACTATCACGAACGTCTACTACGACAACTTGTAAAGAGAACGGGCACCGAGCGACCCGACGATAGAAAGCAACGAAATCAACCCAAGCTACGACTGCTGTTTCGGAATGTGCTATGACTAGGTTCTACACCCTAAATTAGGACTTGTCACCAATCGACGCGCATCAAACACTGCATCCATCAGTTTACCCGGACGATTCAACCATCCATTAGGCTGGACACATTTATACATACAACTCGATTAGCGGTACAAAGCAGTCAGCACGACCACGACCACGACCGCAACTCGACAGTCACGTAGCGCGCTGTCAAAAACGATGCTGAAGTTTGGGATAAACAGGGGCTTTAGCTGCCACATGTACACTGCACGGCGTACATGACGAAGGAAGAAGCTTGAGAAATGTACTGAGGGTGGTTATCCCACGACTAGCTTTGATCGACTGTCCAATTGTAGGACGCCAGAAATGATACAACGTTTCTGGAATGATACGACATTTCTAGCGTCCTACAATTACCAAGTCATTGTTACATATACACAGTCTTAATGCGATCATTAGACTGAAGACAACTCCATCGCAGTCTTTGCGATACAGTTTGTGAGACTCGGTACCAGGTTTCCAACGGCAAGGTCGTTTCGAAGAAATCCTCGATCGTTTGTTTGTTGACTCGGATTTCGTCCAGTACCTTGACTTTTCCGACCCACCTCTGACCTTCCTTTGCATAATCGTTTTGTCGGTGTTGGAAGCAGAAGCAATTGATCAAGATGACTACGAGTGAAGCAGACAGTTCAAGTTTCGAGGGAAAATCTCTCTTTCGTCTCTTGACGCTGATACGGGAGACTCAGTGTGAGGTGGAGGTGGTGAAGCCACTTCTGGATGAGTTGGAAGTCATGCGGCTGTGTCGCAGCTTCGGCATGATGTCATCGGTGAACCCAACAGATTTTGACTTTGACATCCTGGACGCCCGCGAGTTCGACGAGGACTTTACGCGGTTCTTGCAGTCTGACTTGCTGGAAAACAAGTGGCAGGAAAAGGTGAGATTCAAGGGGCTATTTGGCAAGCAAGCGCAAGTTTTAGCGACGTTGGTTGATTTGAAAGCGTGCTCAGCCGATATTTTGGCTTCGCTCACTGAACTTGGTGAAGGGGTCTATTGTGTGAAAATTGCAGCAGATAGCTGCAGTGATTCAAGCAGAGATGACACCGCAAAATTCGACGTTGGGCTGGTCGTATTTTCATGGCTTCGGGACGAGTTGTTTGAACCCCAACAGCTACGTGACACGACCACACTTGTGCTACGCTTTTTGACTGTAATGACGCCTGACATTATCTGCTGCACCTCGACGTCGGACCTAGAGCAACTGAGAGCTGCCATGATCGACTCTGGGAAGCAGCAAGACGAAAGTTTATCGTCGTACTCAGTATTTTTCGCCATCGAGAAGCAAGTGGATGCGGTTGATGGTACGAAGTGTGTAGCACAAAAGGTTGTAGACCTGAAAGACATGATGGAAGGATGCTTGCGCGTTTGTTTGCTCAAAGGCAATTACCCGGCGCTAATTTTGACAAAAACGGTTGAGTCAAAACTTCATGTCGAGCAATTTCAGCAAAACTTTTCCGCATCTGCACGCCTAAAGTTTGCGGCATGGTTGAAGGATGTATCACGACAATATCGGGTGGAACTGAGCGGAACAATTATGAAGTCTGCAGCACTAACTGAGACCATTCTCCGTGAGTTTGACATGTGGCCTGCAACGCAGATTGCTGCCGTTTCTGAGGCACGTACGAAGAGCGATCAAGAGGAGTACGAGATGGCGAATGGACGGCTGGATGAAGAGATTGCTCGACAAAGATCAGTAGTGAGGCGTCTATCGAGTGCACTTTTCCAGCTCGATCCTGGAAATATGAAAGGTAACTCCGTGGAAAAGGAACAGACGGTCATGGAGTATGATGCATTTCGGAAATGGTTGAAGACTAAGTGGAAGGCGGATCGCAAGCTGCAACTGAATCTTGATATTCCTATCCGCCTACGAGAAGTTGAACGAGCGGTTTTCGAACTGTATTCGCACAATCAAGACGATGATGTTGAGACGGTGTTGGGCATGTGTGCTACTTCTACTAAAGAACAGCTTTTGCGTGCTGTGGCTGAACGCCGATCTGCACAGGTGTCAAGCAGGTCGAATACGAAAAGCGCAGATATCGACTTATTCCGCGAAAATGTCGTTGGACCGCTGTCGAAACTGCAAAAACAGTGGTTGTCTGCAATTGAGAACTGTCTAACAATGGTGAAAATTGCTGGGCTAAAGCTGGTGACAAATGAACAGAAACGCAAGCTGGAGTCAGATGCTAGCTCGGCACCTATCATTCAACATCAGTTCGAGCAACTACGCCAAATGCTTCAGTCAACACACGGCCTGACAATGAAGTTAGGTGTGACTATGCGGAAGCGAGAGATCACATGTAAAGGCACGAAAGAGATACAAGCAACGGACTCTATGGTTGAGCAGGTTGTAAAGATAGAGATGGGCTCATGCGAATCAAGGGGCACGACCATAGGATTGGAAACTCTGGGTCAGTACTTTTTGAAACCGGGCGAAACACACGTGGCAATGTTTACCATTAAGACACGATCGGCCGTGCACGTTTGTACTTTGCTGGGTCGAATGCTTATCAAGCTTGTACATTTCCCACCAAGAAATGGTGCTCGTCAGGTATCGCAGGCGACTGATACGATTATCCACACACTGGGAAAGATTGCGTCTGTGTGTGACTATGATTGTCAGTCTCGAACGCTGGCGTTCCTTGCAGGAGATTCTGTGGGTCTGTACAAATGTGACGAGAATTTCAAGCGAATGGAAGTGATCAAAGTCATCGACTTGAATGTTCGTTCGACCTTGAGTGATCCGCCGTTCACAGATGTATTCTTGCTAAAGAGTACTGTATACGTGACAGACTCTAGTGGGCATTCCCAAGGCATTGATATGCACACGGACCAGATAAATACTGCCGTGAGTGTGGAAAACCATCCTGATCAAGACGCTCGATCTCGTAGTCGTCTCATGTCATTTGCTGATAATCTTGCAGCTGGAGTAGTAATTGTGAAGCCCGGGGTTGATGCTAAATTCGAAGCGGAGTTACAATGTGTCTCTCTTGACGATGACCACCGTCATCTTCCAGTGCTTCCGCTTAGTGTCGAACTGCTCACCCAGGATCTTCAAGTGCAATGCATCAGCGGTTGGCTCCTGGCAGTTGACGCTGTAGCACAGAATTTGCACCTCTTTTCAGTTGACGTCAGCGTCGAAAGTAATTCATTTCGGCTTCGACAGTTCGATGATGAAAACGAGGAAGACGGGTCCGAACCTGTTAAGACAGAATCTCTCCGAAAGCAGCACTGGCTGTATACGTTTTATCACGTTTTTGAGAAATTTCCAGTCCTGGGGCTGCTGGAGGATGGGCCACAAAAACCGGTGACCATTCTCGCCACTTGTTCTGTCGGCAAGAACTTGGGTATCGCCCTGGAGGATTTCCATGATTTCCTGTCATTGTTGATGAGTGATCTAATGGCGCTTAATAAGCCACTCAACCGGCTGAACCTAACCGACGGACTCGGCGTACGACATGCTTCTCTAGCCGGCATACGCATGGAGTCAATGCCGTTGTCAGTGTTTTTCATGACACTTGTCACGTTTCTACCCATCCAAATTTGTCGTGCAGAGGCGAATACGCTAACGTTGTTGCAGGATGGAATGGATGAGCCACGTAACGAGGCAGAAGATGGCATGGACGAGAGTTCATGGGGGACAGCAGCCATTGCCGAATCCATCAGGTTTGGTCTCTTGTCCCCGCTACTGAGTGCGTGGCAAGGTCGTTGTGTTGTGGTCACGTCAATGGGAAAGCAATCGACGGGAAAAAGCTATTTTCTGAACCACCTGACTGGATCATCGTTTGCGATCGCAGGAAATCGCTGCACCGATGGGGCATGGATGACCTTGCGCATCATGAAAGATGTTTTGCTGGTCGTGCTGGATTTCGAAGGTCTAGGCTCATTTGAGCGCACTGATCAAGAAGATGTGTTTCTGGCAGTTCTCAACGCTTCCTTGTCGATGTTCACTATTTTCCGAATGGAGATGCGGATCGACAAAGAAGTGGACGACCTCTTCACAAAGTTCCAGAAAGGAGTGAATCTCCTAAAAATGACAGTCGTCTGTTCCAAGGGAAGTTATATATGAGCGTCAAGGATACCAATCTGAATGACGGCGGTGGCGTTCTCTCGGAATTTAAAAAGAAAATCGGCAAACTTTTGACAGCGAATCCCGAACAAAATTTTCTGACCGACATGTATTCAGGAAAGGTAAATATAAACTGCTCACCTCCACTAGGAACTGACGGATACTATTCGTCGCTACGACATGCGAAGCAACTAGTGCAAAAAGTTATTGTCTCGCAAACGGATTCCCCAACTGCTTACAGAAGCGGCGATTCATTCCACGACTGCATTCGATTGGTATTGGCCAAGGTTTCGACCTTGGATTGGACGACTGTTGACAATACATTGCAACAACTGCAAATCAAGAACTTGCTTCGGAGGCTGCCTGGTGTGATTCGCACGGGATGCTTGATGTCAGCGGATTTTTACACCAAAGACAGTGTGCCGAAATGCGTTGTGCAGCCAGCCGTTAGCTCAGAGAAGGAGAACGCTCTACTTCGCTTCGAGGTTCTAGTTGAAGATCACCCTAAATGGCTACAATGTTGGCCGGATGCTGGCACTGAATCAGCCTTTGACAGCATTGAGGATACTAGTATCGATTTCGGTCCCTCGGTGTGTGATTTGGATGGTGCGAGTGATGAAGGCATTCATTTTGTTCTTGTGGAGCTTTTTCAGCGATACTTGCATTTGTCATTCAAAGATGCTACCGAGAAGATTACGGCGGATGACTTTGCGCACTTCGACATCCTGTTGTCGTTCCTGGTACACCGCCGCAAACACAAAGTCGCTCTCTGGATGAAGGAATACTTAGGACCTGACCAGTTCGTGGATGCATGGAATGAAATCGAGCAATCGTACCTCGCCCCGTTCGAAGCACTTTTACAAAGATGTACCCACCAGTGCGCTAAATGCCAGCTCCAGTGTATGCGTTCGACTCTTCATGCATCTGACAAGGAGCACGATTGCGGTATGAATCACGAGTGTCGGGGGACATGTGAATATTGCGTGCTATCTCGCGTTCAAGACAAAGACAAGATTCCTCACTGTGTTGGCAGGGCTGGCCACGAAGGCAAATGCAAGTGTGGAAAGGGAGATCACACATGCGGTAGCGTGTGTAGCCTTTCGTCTGCTCCAAACTGCGAGGTCGACTGTGAGTTAGAGGCGGGGCATGACGGAGACCATCGGTGCGCAGTGAAACGGCATACCTGTGGCGTAGCATGCAGTGCAACAAATTGTAGAGGAAAGTGTTGTCTTAGTGTCGAGCGATGCCACGGTGTGCACAAGTGCAGAGAGACACGATGTAATCATCCATGCGAGATGAAAGGCTGTACGAGGGGTTGCAGCACAACAAACCATTTTCACGACAACCCGTCTTTGATGGCCAAATTCAATTGGGAAAACGGTTTTTTATTTCGGTTTGAATCGCGTCGTGGTGTTGGGGGAGGGAGACACATGTGCAGCTCGAGCCATACATGCAACGAGCCGTGTGAGGAAGTTGGAATCTGTAGCAAGGTTATTCGAGTCTCGCCCGGTCGATTCAATGGAAAACGCGACACGTTTGATTACAATTCGAAGCGAATGGTTGGTGTTCGCAATAAGTGTGCGATTGTGCTTGAGCCCGGGCAAACAGATCATGAAGAGGAGCTGCACTCGTGTGCAAAGCGATCTCTTGGTGGAAGAACTAACGTACATGGGTGCACGGAAAAATGTGAAGCGTGCGACTACTTTTGCGAGAAACCTGTAGGACACAGCGGAAAGCACTCAACCGCTCATGGAAATATGCGGAACATGCGATTTGTTAGCAGGGATGCGACTATTGAGTGGAACGAGCACAAGTATGCGCCAGGAGAGGAAGCAGTTGCGGAAATGTGCAATCTGTCCTGCTCTACTGCTGGACGAGGGCATGTTCATTATCTGAGCTGCTCTTACGAAAGTGCTGATCGATGTGTTTATTCTGGGACGCACGATCATCGCCGCCACTGCGACTCGTCACTTCTCGAACCGCGGCCGTCGAAAGAACTTGATGAGGTTTTACACGCTGAATACTGGGAGACAGTCGGTTGGGAAGATCCTTGCCATTCGGCAGGCGAGCGAGCACTATTTGTCAAGTGTCCGTATGTGTGCAACTCGATCGAGCACGAGAGCGACAGAGCAGTGCCGTCTGGCTGTGACCTGCCTGCTTGGCATGAGCCTGTCACCACCAATGCGTACTCTGTACGCAATGGAATTTCGTACATCAACGGTCACCGTTTCAACTGCTCTCACCCATCGACCGATACTTTCCACCATATTTTCGTGCTGGACTGTTCGGGTTCGATGAAAGGAGGCCCGTGGAACGCCCTGGTAAAAGGTGTGCGAGATTATCTGTTGAACCAGATGGCGAGCGGTCGTCAACAGGACACTGTGTCGGCCGTCACGTTTGGGGATGATGGCCGCATCGTCTACGAACGCGAAGAGATCGCAAATGCAGTGACGCAGTACGTGGACTTCCGTGGTGGCGGCACGTACTATGCAAAAGGACTGAGGGCAGCTAGCGCTATCATTTCGCGGACGAACATGAAACTGTACCGACCTGTGGTGGTCTTTTTCACGGATGGCCGTCCTGCTGATGCGAAGCAAGGGTTGAAGCTTGCAAAAGATATGCGGTGGCGCTACGGAATGTCAGGGCTGCGAGTATTTGTGGTCGGGTACGGGAAAAAAAATGAAGATGGACTGCAACTTCTTTCAGACCATCTCGGTGGATCTGTACACAAAGCCAGTTCCCTTGAAGGTCTTGTGGACACGTTCCGTTCTATTTCGACGTCATTAGGGGCTCGTACGGGGCTCATTTGCAGCAAAAGCAAATACGCCTAAGGTACGACGGCCGCAGCTGTTCCACTACTTAAGAGCATTAGTTGTTACTTGCCGCAAGCGGACATTTCTTACAATACAATGACGAATTGTTTGACAGAGATGCCAACGAAAGTCTCCTCGTTTTTAATGGATCTCTCAAAGCTTGAACCATCGGATACTCAAGTCTTACAGCGAGCTTTCATACCTGAATGGTACAGTATGAAAGCTTGCTGTAACGATCGAGTATCCGATGGTACCGCCTCGAAGAATAAAATATGCTGACGCGTGATAACATTCGCGTTTTTCGCAATGCGGCGTGGTGACTCACATAGATCAGGTGTTGGCAACAGTGTAAAGTTATACGCTTAAATTTAGTGTCGCTACTTTTTGCTGTGAAATTCGTACTGGATCGACATGAATCAGCAGAGCAAAGCAGCATCTTTGGTATGTAAAAACTGATCAATTATAATGAACGAGTTACATTGATCCATCGTCACGCTATGGACCTTCGCCGCATAGCGGCATCACCGCGCTTTGGAATAATGGGAAAAGTACAAAGGTTTGCGCTCATGGCGAGTTATAGAAAAACTACAATTTGTATACGTATATTTCTATGCACGAATCAGCCACCAAAATCATAACGCGACTCACCTATTGCGGACAAAGAGTTTACTTGCGACAAGTGTTAGTGGCCGCGACCAGTGAATGAGGGGGACCCCAAAAAATCAAAGTAAGGAACAGTCAAGTTGCCGAGCTCAAGGCTGTTAATGGCATTTGTTCAATGTAGTTATAATAGCTTTACGGCAGACAGAGATAAAGAGCGAAAAGATTGAGGGAGCTAGAGATAGTAACAAGCTAACAAGTCCATTTGCAAACACCAGGGTGTTAATCATGTTATCTGATACATAGTACTAAGTACCTTGTAGTCTATGATCCGTTTACCCGTATGAACAACGGTAAAAGTACATCAATACGTCAACTGTTTGATCTGCTGGGGCTGCACATTATTTGTGCGCAATGATGGTTGGTGCGTGCGCACTTTTTGTCGAGATAATCTTGCAGGGCAAAAAAGCGCTTTGGCATGCGCACGCACATGCGTCGAAAGAGATGAAGGTAGCTGAAGAAATCAAAATAGAGGATTTAGACATTAAGATGGACGAGGAGCTTAAGAAGAGAACCGGGACGTCGGCAGTATGGTAACACCTACTTGCTATGATAAGACGTGCTTACCTTTGTAAAATACCAGTCATTATGCGCTTCACAGCCTTTAATGTTGAGATTATTGGCAAAATTAGGCCTGTATCGACGTTTTATTTGGTAGCAACTTGCATCTTTGTTTGGCATATGAGCTGGCTATCGTGTTGCTTTATGTCTCTCCCCTTAACTTTAGCTCTCGACTGCGCTGAAAAAAGACCCAAATCCGTAAAGGTCTACCTGGAATCATGCTGTACTCATCTGGCGGGAAGGGGTCGTTTCTTTATCTGGATATGCCGATGATTTAGCCGTCTATCTTCTCTGTCGCGATAACATTACCAAGGTGTTTGTTTTATTGAGAAATTTCAGGAGTGTTCCTAATGCACCTGTGACTATATGCAAGTCTTTTTGGGACACTGGTGATGCAGTCGTCGGTAATGCGGCGGCTAGTCGCGCCGGAGGCGGTCCATTTTTTTCAAGCTGATACAAAAGGCGCACAATGTCAAGAGGATAGTCAAACACGTCTGCGATCCCGATGGTGGTGTTACCTCGGCGTGTCATTTTGTAACTATCTCAGAGTTGTAGCAAAAGAGTAGTCGGATAATGGTGTTTTATCCGACTACTCTTTTGCTACAACTCTGAGATAGTTACAAAATGACACGCCGAGGTATAAAATATCGGTCGAGTTGACCCGCACTGGTTGCAACATGCATCGATCTTGAGCATATCATGGCTTCTATTTTGTGATAGTATATCGTACAAGCTTTAAGGTGCTAGTTTTGCTCATAGATAAGCCACTCTTGGTTATGTGCTCACCCAGACATGGCTTGGCGTCGAAATAGTTCGATTCTCTTCCAGGATCGTACCCAAATAGCCACTCCACCTTGCGAAAGCTCGACATTTTCTGCACTTTTCCACGCTTCGGTATTTATTTTTTATTCTCCTCTCCCGCCGACCTACCTCAAACACCCTATTCTATTACGTGGACGAGTGAGTGATTGAGAAGGTGAGGTATATTCAGGCACGCTGGCGACCCGCTACATCTAGTTTGGAAGTGATCAAAATCACCACACATACACCTAAGTTATAAGCTTAGGCTAATGTGGTTTTACGAAAGACGCCCCCGCGCAGCGCGAGGTGCTTTCGTGAAAGAATTCGGTCGTTTCTGTGTAAGTGGGTCCACTTGAATCTGGGTGCTCTGAAGTAGAAGTCTCGATCCAGCGATTGACGTCGTTGTCAAGGTGTGCAGCCAGCTCCTGAACGACTCTTCGGCCTGACGGGATTTGGACTTGGACGGAACTGCACGTGTTCATGGCTATGTTTGCCGCACAGTCAGCCATTTGTTGTAGTCGCGGCAGTGATGACCCCAGCTGACCACAGCTACTTCGTTGGCCAGATCTCTCGCCACGTCGTATAAGTGCGCCAATTGGAGTTTACGCGGTGAGCGATAGGTCCTGAGTTGCGATAGCACCAAAGAACTGTCCCCTACGACATAAAGAGGCGACAACACGCTTTCTTTAGCGCGGCGTAGACCGTGCACGAGACCTTGATGTTCTGCAAAATTGTTAGTAGTAGTTGGATTGCCATTTGCCGTGCTGGTCACCCACACGATGCTGGCTGTGTGGGTAGGTGCGTGAAGCTTGGCAATGACGGAGCCAGACCCGCCCGGACCAGGATTTCCTCGATATCCCCCAACGAAGAAAAGCAGGTATAGCACACCTGGCTGGTGAGCCAGCCGTATTGATCGCAGTGGAAATAATTCATCGTGAAGTAGAAGCGTTTCGGCCAGTGCCGATCGCACCTGCACTAGTATCGGGCCATCATCTCCACCTTTCGGTTGGTGTACAGAGCTACAAAATCGTGTCAGTGCACGACGCAGGTGTGACGTAGCCCTGTAAATGTGCGCTTCTTCTGGCAGGGTGGAATTTTGAATTCAATGCAGGCGCTCAATCCATATAGAATGTAGCGACGACGAAACGACGAATCGCCACAGTTCATTCGCCGCGTGAAAGACTGCTGACTTTGCTTTGTAGCGATCAACGCTAATCGCGAGGGATCGCTGAACTGCCTTCCAGGCTGCCGACGGCTGCCTTGGGAGCTCCATGGTGAACACCCAGACGTGCATGTCGGCCTCGTCAAAATCTCCTAGACATCGCCACAGCGACCGCAGATGGACCCAATGGCGTTTTAGGTTGGTGCAGCTCCAATAGGCATGACTTGTTGGTGCGAGAGTCTTCTTGTCGCACTCGGTGTTGGGGCATGAGAGATCGTTCGATTTCCAGTTCCATAACGGGAAGCTTTTACTCTTGAGTCGATACAGCGTTTGTACTTCTGTCGGAAATGTAGCTCGGATCCGGCGGATATCACGCCATGCAACTATACCGGTGCCAGCTGAAATTACCTGAAAGCCGTAGTTCAGTATTCTTGAGTCGCGCTGTTGTTCTCCAATTCGCAAGCGGAAGTTGGCTATAAGCTTCGTTAGCTTCCTTCTCTGTGGTTTCCACCTTCTACAACCGGCCCAGAGATGCACCAACCGTGAAAGCACCAGATGAGCCCCAAAAGGTACTGGGGTCTTGCTGTCCCGACTTGCTGCCCTGTCACACCCCAGCATAGAGTCGACTATCATTGTGCCGCCTCGTTTACCTGTGTCAAAATATGAAAAGAAAGCGCTCTTCTCGTCCAGTAGCCATTCGTGATGCTGATGGACCTTGGCCGAGTACGATACCATGGCCCTGTGCGGATCGATGCATAATTGAGGTAAAGTTGTAAGCGAATGCGAGACATAAAGACCCAAAGTTTCGCCGCTTCGCTATCGACTGTGCTGACATGTCGGTACATGGCGAGAAGCGAGTCACGCCAGGCTGTATTGAGGGCCATGAAAGTACATCGCCGAGAGTGCGGGAACCGCGAGAGAACCCGGCTCCGTGCAGCTTGTACGGGGTACCTCGACGATCTTGGAGCCATGACAAATCTTGCATCGTCACATGCTCAAGCCATCGGTTATCGAAACGGCACGTTGCGGCGACATCTGTTTTGATACCGTTTCGCACTTCGTCGGATATTGCGGGACGAAAGTCGATGGTGACACTGCCATCGTTGTTGTAGACGATGTTGGCTGTAGAACTAAAACAAGAAGCCCGGCGACTAGCAGTCTGCACGTCTCCATGACGAATGTGACGGGCAGCCGACAGGTCAACCACTGCAGCTCCAGTCTTCCAGAGGTAGGTTTTTTTAATTTGAGGTTGCATCTCTGCTGTCCAGCATGGTGTGATGTATGTCGGCCCATCCGCTGAACCCCAGAGGACGTCTTCGATCAGGAGCTTCCGCTGCGAGACGGCTGCCGCCCACTCGCCGATAGCTGTTGCAGCCATGGTCATTAACTCCGTCATAGTACATGGTATTGCCAGCCCACCCTTCTGGATAGGAAGCGATGCCATTTTTTGTGGAGCCCAAGATCTGGAACATTTTTCTTCCCCGCCCCCAGATAAAGTCCATGAGTAGTCCGTGAAGTCGCGCAACTATTCCGAAAGGCGGCCAGCAATGACGTGCCAAAACGATAATTTTGAAGACCGCGATCGCGCTAGCCAGACGAGCCCGCTGTTCCACAGTGTGCGTCTTCGCTCGAGCAAGGACGAGCCGACACCAGATAGTACGGATACATTTATCCCAGTTCTCGGCTGTAGCTTCTTGCTGCCCGACCATCATACCAAGGCACCGGCAAGAGTCCGTCTGCACAAGAAGAGTTGGGCCTTGGGTATCTAGGGGCACGTCTGAACCTTGAGAATTAAGTCAATCACCATCGACTTATCCCGGTATGTGTGAAGTCC